TGAATCGTACATACACCACCAGTCAGCTCGGGACGTACCGGTCTCTATGCAAAACGACGGGGAACCCCTGAAGCTCTCGCTGAAATTCATGTCTTCGACCGATTACGTGAGCGACCGTAAAAGCCGTAACGTGATGCGGTCTCGTCTTTCGGCGCCGCACGATTCGCCGTGCACGGGGCGGGGGGAGGTCACGAATATTCGCGAGCGGTCTTCGCTGTGAACGTTTAACTCGAAGAAACACGGCGGACAAAGACCCCTCGTCGTGAGAGATATCTATACGATATAATCTATTTAATTATACACGGGAACGATAGTTTGGTTGAATTTATCTGACAGTAAACAAACCAGACGCGTTTTATTCGAAGGAAACCGAATTTCTGGTTGCACGATGGTTGTAATATAACCAGAAGTGCTGTAATTAGTATAATTAGTAGTAGTCGAAGCTAATGAAATTATCTGCGTTGGCAGCCACATTAGCCATCCTCGTTTCAAACGTTTTAATTGCTACATTTTAGCTTCTATGGCTAATTTTTTCTCCGAGTGTGTTTTCTCCAATCGAAATGCGTTTGTATTGTTTCTTGTCGTGTAAATTCAACCGAATCTTTGTCTCCATATATATTATGATAGAATATAAAATATTATAATTTAATTATCTTGCTCTCTCTTTCTCTCTCTCTCTCTCTCTCTCTCTCTCTCTCTCTCCCTCTTTCTCTCGTAATGAAATATAGCAAATAATAAATAATAAAACAAAAAGAAAATAAAACTACAAGGCAGTGCGAAAGAATTGTGAAAATAATGACGCAGAGAACGTAACGCAGTTACATCGGCTCTTCGATATTAGATTCAGGTCACGGCATCAATCAGGGAACACAAAACGAGAGTCGCCGCGCGATGTCGGGCGCCCCGTCATTACTAATTACCAGCTGCCGCGCCGCAAGCTGCGGAATACCTAATGCTCGGAATCCCGTAACGGAGAATCAGCGCGAGAATCAACGTCAGTTGAAAAGTGGGCACTCGACGATGTACCTATGCGACGGCACCGGGAAGCCCTGCGCGGGGCACAAGAGCGGCAGAGTTCCGTTCGTGGACGTGGTGAGGCCGTTTATGTTGCTGACGCTCGGGAACTTCGGGCGGACGCTTCCCACGGGCTCTGCGACGGGCAAACCGGGAGAAGTCGGGAGAGAGAGAAAGAGAGAGAGAAAAACGTTCGTATAACGACGATAAGGCGACTCCCGCGACTTACTTGTACAGGGGGACAGGGAACCCCTGGGCGGGGCACTGCAATGTGACCGAGCCGTCCTTCGTGGTGCGGAAGCTCCTGGAGTCGTCGATCGTCGGGAACTTAGGCCTCACACTGCCGACCGGCTCTGATCATACCGTTTAATTGGACACTTGCAGCGACGAACGCTCGTCCCGGGGGACTCGCGTTCGTTCGTTCGCGCTGGCGCAGTCTCTACCTGTACAGGGGAACGGGGAACCCCTGTGCCGGGCACATCAGGGCCGGGGAGGCTCCGACCGGCGTCCGGAAGCCGCGCACGTCGTCCGTCGACGGGATCTTTGGGCGCACGCTGCCCACCGGCTCTAAAAAGCCACGTAGCTTTTGCTCTTGCGTCTCTCGTTTCGCGGTTTCGCAGCACTAAGCAAAAGAGCGCGACGAGGTGGATCGACGGATCGCTCGTGGATCACAGTGCAATTCGGTTCTCTCTCGAGGAACGATCACGAACGACAGCTACTTCAGCTGGGTCAACGAGGAGGAACGGGGAACCCCTGTGCCAGACACACGATACCACGGAGCGTAATTTGCAGAGACGAATGCAGTAACGACACTCAGGTCATAAGTTTTAGAATCTCCTGTTGTGATCATACTCAGTCGTACAGGTTCAATTATACATCACTCCGATAATCCTGATTAACGTCCGATGCGCTATATGTGCCGACTTTAAATAAAACTCCCGGCTTCGTGACAAGAAATGACGATAAAGAGCTACCCGACTGAGACGAAAGAAGAGATCTATTCAACTGTTAACGCTAAAACTACCGACGATTAACGCGTACCTTTCTACGATTTTCGAAAAAAATACGTAATGCAAAGGAAAAAGTATTTATTCGTCCACACGTTGCGACAAAAATTACGGTTAATCTCAGAGAACGTACCATTAGAAATTGGAGTAACTTTCATAGGAAAAAATTACAAACCGGTCATCTTGATCGTTTCGGTTGTTTTAGTGTTAAAACAGAAATACCGGCTGTTTCTTTTCACCCTGAATTAATTCCGTCGTTTCTCAGGCGGGTAAGACAAATAACTTGCGTCTAAAGAGTTGCTTTATTAAAAGCTCATCGTTAAGATAGTTGATCCGTAAATTCATGATATTAGGGATATTTTCAAATTTGAACAGCATATTAATCGAAACACGATCTAATATACACGCTTGGAAAATTAGAAAAAGACTGATCTCATTTATGATATACAATTTTGACACTATAGCGAGAGGATATCAATCAAATTTGCATAATGTAAAAAGTCATAAAGAAATAATCGTTTTTCATACATATATACATAACATAGAAACTGTTATAATTAAGCCCATTATAACCTTACCGTTATATCTATAGTTATATCTATAGTTCTGCGATTTTCCACCTCACGTATTATGTGTAAGAAAATCGTGTAATTACCCGATTAAGGAATATTACGGCATCAATAACGCCGGGCATATTAACCATTGCCTTTCCAATAGTATTGTCACGGACCAACTACCTTAACAATACATCTTTATTCACTTCGACAGTTAGCGATCTCCCATCCGTTCATGAATCAGTGCCCCGATCGCGACTCAGATGAACAAAACAAACTTAATCATCACAAATGCGGATGCAACCTATCTGGCTTATTATCGTTCGCTTGATATTCTCCAAACGTACGACCACGAATTTTACTCTGAGCTCTGATCAAGATTATCGTACCTATAAGATGGTACCGGAAATCCTTGGGCAGGGCATAAAAGTGGTATTTCGCCTTCCAGGCCCACGGAAAGTCCGTTCAAGTTGTCCATTGTAGGAAATTTTGGTCGTACACTCCCCACGGGTTCTGCGTAACGAAAAGTGAGTAAAGCCAGGTACTTATAAACCCCCTCGCGTCTCCGATCATCCGTTTATTACGGCTAAATCGCATCTTACTCTTTAGTTTAGCCCGTAGATTGTTGCACCGCACCGTGTTCCGTCGATGTAACTCGACAACTTTGCTTTCGTACGTATTGTACGCCACTCGTTTCTACGAGCAAAGCGAATCGCTCATCGGTATCATCCTGCCGATCAGTACTCGGTACTCGACAGCAATCAGCGGCGCAGCGAAAGCGCTTTTACGCTCAATGTCGCATTGTTAACGCGAGGTCCCACGCGGATGAACTCTCGTCGGGGCAAATCAAAGAAAATCTCACTTGAGCTATCCCGTACGACGCGATAAAACGAGCCGTTGAGCGGAACAGTGCTCCCGAGTCGTGTCAGTGAAAACGAACAAACGTGACATCTTTACGCGCGCTAATTGGGCTGCATAATTAGTTAGAAATTGGAGATATCAAAAACATTCGAAATATCTTTGTGTAAATAGCAAAGTCTGAGAAACTGAAGCTCGAAATACTGATATATTCGCATGCATTAGTGACACTTGGCTCTCGAAGGTAGAGAGAGAGAGAGAGACATGACTGAGACACTGATGCACTTAATGGCTGAAATATCGCCGCTTAAATTCACCGAAGGAAACGAACAGAGAGCCGAGCGATTCCGCCTAATTCACACAGCACAGAACGGAGCTCAGCTGCCATTGAGTGCCACGTCTACTGAGCGTGTGCGACGGTGGAGTTCTCGGCTGAAAGAACATGTTCCGTAAACTTACCACGCGAGAGCGAAGGACAGAGCCCGGAGATCGCGGAAGGCGCCGCGAAGCGTCGGAAGAATTTCGCACGAGACATTTCTCTCTCTCTTATTTGGTTTTCTTTTTCATTCTCTTCTATTACTTCATCATTGCTTTCTTTTTTCCTTTTCTTTGAACAATTACTCGAAACCGATCATGCCAAGAGTCGAGTTTTTGGGCGGGCGGTGGCGCGTGCCCGCAGGGGTACCCTGTCCCAGCATTCAGGTTCACCCACGAGCTTGATCGACGACGTATATACCGGGCATGCTTTCCCGTTTAAGACGAAAAGGTCAAGAAAGGTGATGTGAAAATGTCGAGGAGCCACCTTCTCCCTGTGACAATAGACTTTCCGCGTGATCAAAGAGAGCGGGTCGATCAAGCTCATCGGCACAAACGATCGCACGTTCGTCGAACGTGATTACAGTACCGGAAGACAATTGGTTTTCCGGCAACACGGCAATATTTTATGCAGCAAGGAGACTCGCAAATGATAATTGCTCGGAATGAATAAAACGGAACGAATCTTGTTCAAGAGTCTTCGGAATTGTGGAAAATCAGCTGTCTCCCGGATGACAGTTCCGAACCCAGACACCTCGCGATGTAATGAAAATTCGGCGATAAAGATCAAATGTGTTTCTCCAAATTCGCTGAATTATACGACAAGATATGTGAACTAGCGTAATGGTGTGAAGTTTGTTGAGATATTGAAATTGCGTTTAACGTTGAAGCGAAGGACAAATGGACTGTCACACAATAAATGATATATTCTTCTAAAGTAACTTTTATAATTAAGACCGTGTATGTACTTATATAAAACAAACGTTATGACTAAGAGCACTAACTACGTCGATCGGTATCTAACGCGTGAACGATGGCATCCGGGTCCGGAACTGGAAATACGATTCTGATTTCGTTGGCGAAACTGGACAAAAGGTATCAATAAAAGAAACTTGTACCCCTTCGCTCACATCGAAGGACGATCGAGAAACGTTTCTAACGAGAGCAGTGCCGAAATCAGAATCGTGATTTCCGTAAGAAAGAAAACGAGAAAGGGGGGGGGGGGAAGGGAGGCGTTTGCGTTGTGACTCACCAGTTATGACGAGACGTCCCTTCGTGGCGGACAGCCTGGTTTCACCTGTGAGTCGATGCTTCGTGCGGCACTGGTAAGTCTTGTATCCGTCCTCGGGGCCGACATCCCTGATGTGCAATTCTCCGGATGGAAGTACCAAGTATTTCCCATCTAAACCCGCCCGGGCAGAAATGCACGTTAGTCAATGCACGTGTCGATTTCTCGATTACGTGATTCGTCAGGATGATCGATCGTTAATTACCGAGCTCGACATGATACTCGGCTGCAATCGTTGAACTCACCGTCTGATTAATTATTAGCGCGCGTGCACCGTTAGTTCGGTATCATCGGAGACGTCGATTATCCTGACGCGATATCGCACGATGCTCGAATGCCCCGGCGACGTAAAATCGAGGGGGCGTTTCGAGAACAATGCCGTCTCGATGAATAAACATGCGATAATCCGTCGTGCGCAAATTCGCCGAACGGCCACGGACCAGTCGTTAATATCCCGTTGCTGCAACGTTCGGCGAATTCTTCACGGAGTCCAAGCACGTCCGCCAAACGACAATATGAGAATCTTGCGCCTGTGTGTCGTCTCGTGCAGACACGAGAGAGAGAGAGAGAGAGAGAAAGATATTGAGCGACGTCACGATGCAAAATTGCATCTTTGTCTTCTTGCGAGCACAATATTCCTCATTGCCGTTGAAACATCCAGGAAATCATCACGCTACTTTCTTCAAGATTCATCGCGTACTCTTTGCGTCACAAAATAAATACAGAGGATGAAAGAGTGAGAGAGTGAAACGTTAATTATGAATGTAAAGCAAAAAAATATACATATTAATATTATAGAGGTGCAAGTACACTAATTACTAAAAATGTTTGTGTTCACCGTACATTCATTATATACATCATCCATATATGCTCATCATTAAATCCCCGATAGCTAATATTAGGCGTGTAAATAAATTCGGTGCTTTTGTTACCAGGAATCGCGACTCGACGAAATTACTTTCGCCTTAATAAACGCGATATAACGGGTCGCCCATTAACTCGTTAAAGTAATTCGCCGCGATGGAAATTGCAGTTTCAACGCCTCTAACGAATCAGACCGCTTTTGCGGCCGAGTTTCATCGACAAACGAGACTTCCTGGATAGGCGGACTAGTTTCATGCGATCACACAAGCGCGATATATCCATAACCATTTAGCTACTACCACATAGAGGAGGGCACAGGTGAGAAGAGACGGATGAGCCGATCGAGCGGCCGGAAAAAAAAAACAAAGAATCGGTGGAAAGGAGGATGAGAGGTCTGGAACAGCGCGAGCAGCGGCAGTCAACGTCGTACGAATTTCCACAAAATCCCACATTGCACGGTATGTTTTATTTTATTTTTTTTTGGAAACGAGGGGCATCCGAGACCGCGAGAGAGAGAGAAAACCGTGTGTTTCTCATCGTGTGTGTTTCGTCTGAGCGCGGTCGTGATTCGCTCGGTACTTGGTTGACAGAGCGGAGGCCGATGGAACGATTCAGACGACCTGGATTCGTGTCTTGCGACTAAACCGACGTCAACGAGAAAAACTCAGCTTCTTTCCTCGCCATTCTCTCTTTCCCTATGCGCCTCCCGTGGAGAACTCGTTTATATAGTATCATCGCAATTGCGTATCTGCGAATTCGCTACGGATTCGCTCTCTAGCGATCGAGGCTCTAGTGGTTGTGGACGCGTTCTCTTATTCGTCGCGGTCGAGCCGAGGATCATTCCTTGGCACAGACGAGAACGAGCGATCGTCATCGGGCGAAGTGTCATTACCGGACGGCAATCGGACGGCTCATGAGAGAATCCTTGAACCACATTGCGGTACACTAATAGCTCACCGAGCGCCATAAACCTGCGTTTATCGAATACTCGAAGCGTGTCGCTTCTGCGGAACGAATAATGCGACGGAAGTGACACTTCGTTTCGATGCAGCTCGAAACGCGAACGATGCTCCAGTGGGAGAACTCGTTTTCGAAAAATAAGTTCTCTTATTGGAGACCGTCAGTCAGCTGCGCTCCAAACTGCGTCGGAAGGAAGTGCTCACACGGAAAAGAATTAATATCGAAAATTCAAGATTCACATTCTCATATATAAGCAAGAATATATAATCTTATATAAAAATAAAACTTGCTCCTATATATATACATGAAGAAATTCTATAGCTATTAGAAATAGTTATAAAATATTCTAAATTCTATATAGTTTCACTAAAAATATTATATTCTTATTATTCACGAATAATTCTTATAAATTAAGAGGATAAAATATTGCGGATAGAAAGAATATCTTTAAATTGATACAATTTTTAGTTTAAAGATGTTCTTTCTATCCGATATTTTTTCCCTCAATTCATGAACATTATTATTAAATAATGAAAACCTGAATATATTTATCATGTGTGACATAAATATATTTTTAAAGGAACTATATAGAATATTTCTTCATAAGTTTCTTCATAAGTTTTATCCTAAATATAGGAGTGTATACAGATAATGTTAAAATGTCTTAATACGTCATAAAGACAATAACGTCTTTTAGGCAATAAGACGTCTAAAGGATCCTAAAAGACGCCTTTGTGACATATTTTAGATATACGTGTTGTTCTTACTGATATAAAGAATATGAATCTTGAATTGATAATAATTTTTTTGTAAATAGTTCAGAAACCGAGCGTGCACGAGAAAAAGCAAATACGCAATCGGAGAAAGTCGACTACGAACTTGTCGAGGAAAATCCGCTCCTGGACTATTTTTTATCGGCTCTGAGGTACTCCATATATCGCAGAGATATTCTCTCTCTCGAATAGTGAAACTTTTCTACGAGAATAGGCGGAATAACGCAACTCATTTCAACACGTGTACGTAAGAACGTAAAAACACAATTCCCATTGGCGATGCATGCGCATTTTTCTCGACGATTTCCCGCGAGACACGTCGTCGGTCATTTTGTGGATTGCGAGCGCGCCCTTAGAAATGGTGAGTCTTCGCGCGATGAATTCGGGCAGAGGCAAACATGAAATATGTTGCGCATCGTGTACCGTAATCGGTGCTAGGATATATATCAGTGGTCTCGTCTTCGATCCAAGAATCAACCTCGACGAATTCAGCGACGAAGCTCGGTATGTGACACTTGATAATTGCGGCGTTCCCCCGAAGGACATGTTCGTCCATCACGTTCACTGCATACCGCTGCCCGACAACTGCAACCAGACACCGGTTTCCGGCTTTACCATAAGGCGCACATCTCCTCCTTAGCAGGACGTATCGATCGTTCGTCGATTGATCGCGATAGATATATTTCGATCGAGTGTGTAAAAATCGAAAGAAACGTGAAACAAAGTGAATACGATTCGGGTAGACGATGAGTAATTGCGACGAATGCGAATCAATAATTATAAATTCTCTGGCACAGGAGTGAATGAATTTCATTTCACGCATTGCTAATAATTCATAGTATCAATTAATGCGCCCATTAATAATTGAGTATCAATTATCGGAACACGTACGTTTCTACGATCTCGTTTCGGGATTTTGCATAGATAGCTTACGCAAGTTCCGTATTAATCGCGCAATCTTTTCCGAACAATCCAGTTACAGTTCCAGTTTATCAGTGTTACTTTCGAATGAGCCTCAATTAAATTTATGAACTGTAGGGAAAAGAAAAAGGCATCTGAGATATTTCAAAGCGAATATTTATGTGTCATTTGATACCGAGAAACCCGATCTCGGAAGATATTGCATAATGTCTGTCATACTGATTCAAAAAGGCAGCTTGTTAATCGTCATTCGTATTCGATGTATTAACACGTCTTGATGAATCCAATTTAAATATTCGCGCAGCGAGCAGTGCTAAGCCTAAAATATCCGGTAATGTCGCAACACTCGTGCCGGAAAGTTCAACATCAGGAATAATTTATTTCACAAATACGACTCAGGTTAATTAATCATAGTAACGTTGCAGTATTTTGTGATTAAATTTCCACAAAAAAAAAGGAACAGAGAAAAAGGTTTCTTTAGATTTAGTATTTCTACTTATTTGACTAAAATTTGTTTCATAAAAACAACATATATGAAATATTATTTGTTTGAGTGAAAATGTTATTGTCTTATTCAAGAAAACTCTATTATTTAACAGGAAGAACGCTATTATTTGAAATAATATCTTTCGACCAGATAAAATATTATTTAGCTACAATAAATATGTGAAATGAAACGAATAATTTCTTTACAAGCTAAATTATCTTCCGTTTCAAGCAAATATTTTATTAAAATAAAGACACACATTCGTCCAAAAGTCTAACAATCGTACTTATTAATCGAAACATTAGTTCCTATGGAACTGATGCCAATGATGAAATTTGTTTGGATGCGATAAAGTTGATTAAATTTGAAGAAATCTGTTTCTCATTGTATTCAAGTTCGAAATTATATGCGCGGAAGAGGCACGGAGATGTGCTCGACGAACGATCGGGACAGCATTCTCACGATTGTCGCAGCGATTTTCGGCGATTCGATAGATTCCGTTCGGCTGGACGCGAACGTAATCGGACATTTTATTTACAACATATTCGTCCGTGGATTGAATTCGTTCGCAAATCGGATTCCGCGATTCAATGTAAGCTCCGCGCTGGCTGCTCAAGAATACGTTCCTGCGTTTGATCGAAGAGAACTGGTCGCGCGACCGGTCTTGAAATAGACGCGATCGATATTGAATATTACGATTCGTCACATACATTCGATAAACAAGTGGCTCGCGAGAAGTGTGCATCGCAGAGAGCGACATTTCTATTTGCCACATGCTTTTTACGCTCTGAGTTTCGTTTAAACCGACATGTATGACGAACGTGATAATATGCAGCAACGATAAGAAGAGAAGCGTGGAAGATGCGTGCGAAGGGAAGACGATCGGGCCAGTTCTCTTGTTTAGAGGGAGATCTGCGCCCGCTCGGAACAGGACCTGTGCGTCTCCGTCTATCCTCTAAAGGGTAGAATACTGTGCTGCGCAGCTTTTGCTCATTTCTTCACAATTCTCTGTACCGTATGATTGTCCGTCGGCAACGTAACTGCCGCCGTTGGAGTCGATCCAGCTCACCACGTCCACGTGGTCGGCCACGAACGAGGGAACTTGACACTTGAAAATAGCCGCGTTGCCGCGTATCGCGAACTGATCGTAAACCTGAACCTCAAAGTACTGTGCGACCACTGCAACGAAGCGAGAGAAAAAGGGAAAGCCTGGCGTTTGTTCTAGTTTGCAGCGCTCACGGCCGGCGCTTTGATCGCGCCGATTAAAATTTCAATGAATCCCCGGCTGTCAGCAAGCTGACTACCGCGGTCAACTCTCTCGATCGCGTCTCTCCAGCGAGCTGCGGCGCAAACTCGCCTGAACACCGATCCGATTAATCCGACGTAATCTGCTTGCGAATTAGATCTGCGCCGACAAGCAGATCCGCCATCTTAGTTCCGAATTTCGGGGCGAAATGTCGCGTGTAATGCACTCGAGCAGTGCTTCGAGAGAGAAATCGACAGAAATTTTATAAAATCTTTAACAAGCCACATCTCTGAAATAAGTTCTCTCAAGACTGGACGTATATATGAGCTTTTCTTAAGCTTCCTTACAAAATCAATTCAAAAATTAATTCTTAAAAGATTAAACAGTGCTTAAAACATCCTGTATATCCTTGATATCCCTAAAAACGATTTCCGCCACCTGTGACCTTATAAATTTATAATTATCTGTTACCACGAAACGTCTGATAATGTTACATCTTACTTCGATTCCGCCAGATTCGTCAATTATCGAAGCGTCGGCTCTGTTGAAACCGTCACGACCCGTTTCCATCCGTATCTCGCGAACGCGATATGGGAAATTCGATTACGCTGCTTTTGCGTGACACACATCCTGTATATGCCCTAGAAAATGACAGCTATTTCCGCAAACGCGAACCGTAAACCGCAAGAGCGTGAGATTGCTGGTGCCGAGAGCACGTGATCAGAACAAGGAACGGACAGGCAAATTCAATATGTCACCGGTCGGTTCGGTACACCTTCCAGCTCATTAATTAAAATCACGATGTCTTCGGCCGCCAACCGCAGCGGCCGTAAAGTAAATTCGATTACGTCGCTGGGAATAACCCCCTTAACGATTCTCCTCTTTACCGAAAGTGGATCAGGCTGGTCGCGCGGGCGTTAATTCGCTCTCGGGCCGATTAATCCGGTTTAACCTAATCCGAGGATAACGTCGAACGAGGCCACTGCCAGCCGCACGCTCTGCCTTTATCCACCCTTGCCGATCGCTGGATCGGAAAGGACGAACTTTCCAGGCAAAATTCACGTTCCACTCCATCAAGCCCAAACCCTCCTCCTTTCCACCATGAGGACATTCATCCCCCTGCGTTCAAGAAGGACGTGTATGCGTCAAGCGTATGCGCCAATGCACCGTCTTTAACATCCGGGACGTCGTAATTTAATTTGCTGGGTCGTCAAAGGTAAGTGCTTTTGAAAGCCTCAGAAACGCCCTCACAACAAGAAACCTCAAAACAATCATAGAAAAAAAGGGCTTTATTGGAAAAAAAAAAAGAAAAAAACAAATCAATTGACGGAGGTGAAAATTAATTGGCCGCGTTTAAAGAGGTTCATTCATTAAGTTCCGTATTTTCAGTGGTGCATCGAAAAAACCTCTTATAAATTATACAATTTATCAAGCAAAATTACGTTTCCATACGTTTATTTCAATATCTAAGTAATAATTGTTAATTTGAGACGATCGAAACGAAACGGTCGATAATTTTGAAATTTGTCCACAATATCTGTTTATTAGTCGTAAATATTACGATAAATCTTTTATGCTTTTATCTCGTACACAAATCTGGTCAAGTTGGAAGAAATCTGTGTCATGAGGTTTCTCCGTATGTGTGTATACAAGTTTATAATTAAATATCTCGGAAACGATATAATAAAAATTATTGAAATTTCTGTTACGCGTTGTTAGTTCGATGAATTTTTATTTGATATATATATTATAAGATTTTGTATTTGATCGAACGTCCGAACCTCCTTAATGCGGTGATTAATCTCGAGTTGCAAAACGGAATACTATTGGTGGAAGCGCACGAGAACGTTAAAAATTGATCTTGAGCAGTCGATGTAAATGCTAAGTACCCTTTTCCTGCTGGCTATTCGCATTATACGTGGAGCCGTCCTCAGCCTGCCATTCAATCACTTCTACAAAATCTGCCACAAAGCTAGGCACGAGACACTTCAAGGTAGCCGTGTTTCCGCGTAAGACAAACTCATCGATGACCCTCGTCTCGTAGAATTGCTGGACCACTGCAACGCGCGATTTCCCAAAAGAGATCATGACGCATTACTTGTCACATCGAGCTTGAAAATTGTCTACGCTGACGGGCGCTATTCGAACTGAACCGACAGGTAATCGAAATTGCACGCGGCTTGTGTCGTATTTTTTCGTTATCGAAACCAGCGATGTGAACTGGCGCCCGACTTAGGCGAAAAAAAGTATCTCGAAGGGTAAGAAGGATTTGGAATAAAGTAATTTGATCACGAAAAAGACTCCCTTGGAAAAAGCCGATCGCAAGATAGAAAATGATCAATATTTAGGCCTCAGTAAAGTTGCTAAATAAGTGAATAAAAGAAACTGAAAAATTTGACATTTTTAGAAAATCTAGCAATATTATTGAAGAGTATAAAATATTAAAAAACTTTTGTAGAACTTGAAAATTTCTATATAAATGATTTTTTCATGCAACTCACACAATTTCGATATTGCCCACTGAAAATTAAAGTTCTTATCTTCCTATTTCTCTCTCTTTCTCTCACAACTCTTAAATGGAACATATAATAGTCAATTACTTTTTGTTGTTCTATAAAATATTCAAAGATCGGCAAGGAACACTTTTGACCGTTTCCTCATCAGTCGCTGACTACTTTTTCAGTCCCTTGGACTTTTTATCCTGTGAAACATAAAAGGAAGAAAAAGCAAACGACCCACCTATATGCAACATTTTTTTCGTACAAGTTAGGCGCCAAGTTTACACCGACACTGAAACCATAGGCGTTTTCAGACTTATATTTCATTCCATCTCGTCGATGCGATATTAACCTGTTGGACATTAATTTCACACAGGCGTACGTGAAACTTAAATATAGATTTTCCTCGTCCTTCGCACGATTGCATGAGATTGAAAACAGTCCCGAAAGTAAAAGTTGGAATTCCGTGACGACCGTGCGAGCTGCAGCCAGACAGTTGAGCCGAGGGATAAGCGAGAAGAAAGTGCGAGCGCTCGTTTGAGGGACGGGAAATGAGAATGTGCGGGGAAAGAAGAGAACAAAAGTTTTCCCGCGCGGACAACCACGCGCACACTACGCCGGTTGATACCGGCGTCCGTACCGTACTCCTGGCCGGCCGTGTAAATTGTCCCGTCGTCGGCCACCCACTGATCCACCTGGACGAACTCAGACACGAAGCTCGGTATTTTGCATTTCATGATCGCGCTGTTAGCTCGGATCACGTACTCGTTCTCGGCCTCGGTGACGTAGAACTGCGAAACGACTGCCGGCGCGGGCAATGTGTTAACTCTTTCAAACGCGATCGGAAATTGCGCGCCGTTTGTCGCCTCTTCAAACATTTGATTATTCGTCTAGACCTCTCGTCGCACTAAAGCGTTCAATCAAAAAGTTCGGCCGGCAAATGAATAGAGAAAAATCTCTTCCGTTTCTTCAATTATCACAGATGCCTCGAATGATGTTAATGTTAATTAACTACAGTTTCCTTTTGTGAACATAAAGAGGACACGTAATTTTAAAACAGAGTAAATTGGATGAACTGTCAAATTATCTTACAAAATTCTCGGGTGTGTGGGTGACGAAGTATACATGGACATGTTATTTTTGTTAGTGAAATTAATAGACACAAGCCTTTTAGAGAAAATTTACATGAAATTAGGATGCGAAGAAAGAATCAGCGCACAAACGATTGTACAGATCATTTTTTCGACAACTTTTTTCACAAAATTTTCAAGAAATTTTAACTTACATTTTATATTTTCTCATTTTCAAGATTAACCTTCCTACCATATCACTAAACACTGCAATGACTTGCCCCTATTATTTGTCTTAATAAAATAACGTTTATACTGCAAAAAGCTCAGATAAAAAGCTAAGCCATTCTAATTCGCACATAAATTTTCCGCTGGATATTTGTAAAATAATCGAGAACGGCCAAAGTAATACCCTGCCCAACCGCAGGATCTTCCGGAAGGTAGACCTCTCCGTCTTCGCGAATCCACGCCTCGACGGTAACGAATTCCGCGATGTAGCTGGGAATGCTGCATTTTAAGATCGCGCTGTTTCCTCTTATTACGTATTCGGTCAAGATTTCTGGGTTGTAAGGCTGAGTGACGACTATGCGGGGAGGTACAAATTAAAATAAACGAATGTTCAATCACAAGTGAATAAACGTTGAATCGTTTCGTTTGCTTTTTTTTTTTTTAATTAACTACACTATACATATAAGCAAAACGAGGTATTCATGTTTCTCATTCCTGGTTTTGTTACATTATTATACCCGCGAATAGCGAAAGCACTTGTGCCTCTGGTGAGTGAATCACTAGGCAGAAATGTAAAATTAGACGCTTTATTCGTTGCTTGGCTGAGAATAAGCGTTCTGAGAAGGTCCAAGCTGTTTAAAGATATTACGGTGCTGAATAAGTCAAAAACGAACAAATATCTTTAGAGAACTCTCAAAGGGAACCGTTCGCAATCCTCCGTATTTCGGTGCCTCGCGGATATTTTCACTTTCTCGAACATTTTCACGAATATTTTCACTTCCTTTCAACAAGACGAATCGCAAAAATACAATTGTCAGTTACACTCAGAGAAATAACTTGATATTAGCAGCTAAATCTTATTAGCTAATTCGAAATTTTCTGTCATTGTTAAAAGTTGCTTATTACGGGTAAAATGCATTTGCTATAAGATACGACTTTATTTAGTTGAAACTGACTCACTCAGTTCAAAAGTCTGGGAGAGTTCGAGTTCATCAGTACTTAACTGATTAAACATCGATAACGTAGAAACGATCCTCGTAATGTTATACAAACACTTACCACGCTGCTCTTTTTGTACTTCTAACATATAAATGTAATATAAATGTGAATGCGATGAATGTGCGCCACTCTGATTTACCATATCTAACAGAACATTTAACCGTTTCGCATTTTTTAGGTCTTTAAATTTCATCGAAAAGATATAAAAATATTCTTTGAAATTTTCCTGACTGCAGCATTGACAAATTTGGTACGCACAAACCGTATAATTTCTATATCCGATAAATATTTATGCTGACTGATTGATTGAGTTTAAAGATGTTACTTCAAAATTCATAAAGCTGATAAATTTCGTTGCGGTAACAACGGCATTAACTGTCCCCCTTTCAAACGCACGTTTTAGCTGTCACAGCTAGATTAGCTATAGCTAATTCTTTCTCCGAGTGTAACATCGTGCGTTACGTTGTTTCCAGAAATTCACCTCGACGCTTTTGCGCCTCGCTCTCATATTCGCGCATTCCAAATTCCGCCAAAGTACGCCCGTCACGAGCCACGGGATTACGAGGGTGACAAAGTTCTCCGCTTTGGAATATTCCCGCGTGACTTCGCAGTCGAGCTGCCCGGCATTTTCCGCGTTTCGTCATGGGGCTTCGCGTTGCGCGGCTTATTTTCTTAGATCCGCCATAATTCGCGGCGTGAGAGCCACCGGATGGTTCATTAACCCCCGCGCGTATGCACTGCCGCCGCCGTTCAGCCGCCGTCCAGACCAGATCGCGCGGCCGGCGGAAACGAATCGTTACACCACGTGCCACTTTGAACTTCGACAAAGCTGGGGACGGGGTGTCTGAGTAGCAGGGAGACAGAGGGTGATACGACCGGAAAGAGAATTTCCTCGCTCTGTGTACTCATCGTGTGTACTCATCACGCGTTCGTCGACAGTCGAATGCGCAATTTCCGCATTGCGAAGCGACCAAAGTGCATTCGAGTCTAATCAAGCCTGACTTGCATATGAAGGGGTTGATGTGATCAAGTCTTGTGCACACGTGAAAGATACAAATTGTTCCAAAATAAATCACTCAGACATAACGTAGCATCTGAAATCAGGACGTGAGACTGAAAAATGTATTTAAGACGTCTTCTTACCTACAAACTCGTCTCTGAGACGCCTTACATCCCGATTTTAGACGTTATGTCGTCTGGGAAATAATAATCTATGTCGCCTAATCGATATAGACTCTAATAATGCACTGAGAGAAATGATGGTCGTTTTCGGCGACAGCTATACCTTTTTACATGGTTTTAACTACAAAAGTAGTACTAACAATATACATGTAAAATTATTATCGCTGACACTATAGTAACACTAACTAGAAAAATGGTTTTACTCACTGTAATTCTTTCACTATGATTATTAGTTACAAGTGCCAAATATTTTTCTCTCAGGATGCGCCTTTACGAGACGATTCTAGCGATATTAATCGTAACGGCGAACTCCCCTTCAATTCGTCGGAACAACGAAACTGATTACAGTGAAAACTAACAGCGTCGGAGTTTGTCTAAATAATTCAAACGGTGCAACAGTGAAGGTAACAGAGAGCTCGTTCGCTCGAGTTGAATGAATGGAAGGAGGGAAAACGAAAGGTACAAAAGCGCGCGAAGAGCGGGGTGAATGAGCAATATGAAATCTTCCGGCCGGCGTATCACCCGGGAATGAGTTCCCGTCTGCGAACGATAGGAGAATAAGTGCGCTGAATGAAAATGGGAACACGTGCGTGTGTACCATAATCGGTAGACGGTCTGAAGGTCGAGCCGTCGCTTCCTACCCACGACTCCACCGACACGAATTCGGCGACGAAGCTCGGTATGGTGCACTTCAAGATAGCTGCATTGCCGCGTATCACGTATTCCGATACAACTTCCGCCTCGTAATACTGAGTCACGACTGCGAAAGATAATGGAGTATCATAATGACGCATTGTCTAACCATATCGCCCCCCTCCCCCCTCCTCCACGACCCCCCAACTCCGTACTCGTCTTAATAAAATAGAACCAATTTTCCCAATTCGGCACGCAGCGACGTTTTTTTTTTCGATTCGTTCGTATGCGAGCGTCTCGTTGCGTAAAGTCGATTCTATCTCACCGTGAAGACAGAATGCAGTTTCTTTTGAGGAAAATTACAGTCGACGGCGATCTCTCGACGTGATCGCGACTGGCTGTCGCCTCGGCGCCCAGCTAACATCATACAATTTGAACGCGCGCTACGTATAATGTGATTATGAAAACCGGTTCTCAACCGGCAGAAAATATCGGAGAAATAAAAAAATATTTATTCCATGCGTACTGATGACATATTCACTCATACCAACGCTCAGGTTTTCACGCGGAAGAAAAATGTTTCCCAAATGAAAAAGTACGCGTTTTCTTAAATCCGCAATTTCTCTCTAACGAAAACAATTGTTCACTCTACATTTAAATAAGGGAGTTTAGATTTAAGTAAATATGTTATTGGTACCTGCTGGATAAATATTTTTTATTTTTCAGATACTTTTTTCTCTCGGCGTGGCGATCAGACGAGGAGAAGACGCGTCACGCAGAACGCGACATCGACGACGTTGACCATCAGTCACCACTCGCTGCCCGCGCGCGTTCCGGCCCGCAAGATTTATCACAAGCTCCGGGATTGTACCGTTTGCCTGGTCGGGATCGAAGGAGTTCCCTTGATCGTCCTGCCAGCCGACGACCTGAACGAACTCCGCGACGAAGCTCGGTATGCTACACTTGAGAATGGCCGCGTTGCCGCGAATCACGTACTCGTTGTTGACTTCTGACTGATAATATTGATGCACCACTGCAATAAACGGACCGAGTAATCCGCGCGAGCTCGTCTCCCATCAGGCACAACGTCGTTCATTCATACCGCTTAAATTGAATTTCAAGTGACCGGCGATACCGTTCATCGGGATGTAGTTTCGACGAGTTAACTGAGTTTCACGATGCCTTTATTCCGAATTACTCGCCTAAGAGGTAACTTTTTCCGACACGGAATTGTATATTCTCTGTAGGAATGTATATTAGTACGTTTTTCGTTCGGTCCGTCGGGCTTTATTAAACGCCAGTCGATGCGACCTGCGAAACTAATTCCCGATTTAAGCCCGATGAAACCTCGACGACGTTGACGGCAGCTTTAGGCGATCTGTTTCGCCATTGTCTCGCAAGCAGAATAATTCACGTTGTCGCATCTTACGTCGCAACCACTGACGAGCAGGCGTCGTGATGGCACGAAGGTGGTGCGATCGATTGACGTTCAACTCGGATACACGCGTGCACATGTAAACGCGTATAGGCGCATATGTACGTTGGGTAAATTGGACGCTACGTCGATATAACGTCCCAAGAGAATTTTAGGCAGTACGATCGAATTCACTTTTTTTTTGCTCTTATTGGATTTTAAGTCGTATTCAAGCGCAAATGCAAAGACAAATCACTTCGTGCAATCTAAATTAAAATTAATCGTCTTAAATAATTATTTGCAAGGAAATATATAATAATTTTGTTAAGACTGTCATATGTTTTGGAAAAATGTTTGGTTTGCATCTATGCCGTATAAATTTTTATTTTCCACCTTCAACAAAAGGCTTTAGAATTCAGGAACACGATATGACGCTTTTCTCTTACTATAATTTATTATTATCTTCACTATTATATATATAATCATTATGTTTAATTAGCATGATTATTTTTATCTCCCGAACAGAGAGACAAGAGGAAGCGGATGGAAGATAGATTCGAAACGAATCGGCAGCGCGTCGGACGCGAATACTGTACAAACGTGCGGTTTAACAGAAAACCGAGAGAGAGACGAACGCGTCAACTATCCGATCGTTTTGGCCGGCACGGCAAATATAACGAGTTGGGAGCGACGTTAACGAGACGAATGACGATGCGCGCGTACACACACATGTGCCGACCGTGGAAAGTGAGCGACCCATATACTTTCACGTTGCTCCGGTCCAAATGGATTTGCATTTCGCCACAGCGGCAATTGAGATCAATATACGAGAAGCGGCCGGGTCGCACGGATGGTGTCAGTTACTCAACCGAACGGCACAGCGCATTTGGCACGGAATTGGCACGCGAAACGCGAACGAATAACTTCGTTACTTATTAATCGTCTCCGTGAGAAACACAAATCGAAACAACGTCGAATAAAAATTTTGACGAAATTCCGAAATAGATCAACTTGATTATATTATTTATTCGAGAAACCCGTTTTTATATAATATGTAGATGTCGAGCTGAGTTTTCTATTTTTACGAATCTTTCGATTTCTTAAATCTGCCGTAGTATTGTAACGTCGCGATAAAAGTAACGTCTGCTGTTAAAATTCCTGTCGATGTAGATCGATGTGGCGAAGATGCAACAACGGAATTTTCTGCTCAAAAAGAAGTAAGGAATTCGCTTGGTTGATCTAAACGCTTCGAGAAGTACCGAAGTCATCGCCGGGCACATATTCCTCTCCTTGATCCGTGTGCCAGGACAGGACTTTGACGAAATCGGCGACGAAAGAAGGAACGACACACTTCAAAATGGCACTGTTCCCACGGATCGCATATTCTTTATTGACGTCGGTGTCGTAATACTGCGCCACCACTGTAATTTTGGTACACACAAGATAACGTCCATCGAGCATCATTCTGCTCCAGTCTCGATAGCTCCAAGAATCTTCGGAATACTTTTCCTTTTTTCATAACGAACGTATAGAATTTTACCAAACAAATTGAAAAAAAAATTTTTTCTCTATTAATTTAACTAAAAATAGGGAATTTTTACAATATAATTTCTTTATGTTTAGAACGTTAATTTTTCAAATGTTAACGTCGTAAGGAATTTTCGAAAATTTATAGTATACTTATAACTATAATACATGGAAAATTTTCTGAACAATTATTATCGTATGTATCTGAAAAGTAATTCAAAGTGAAAGAATATTTGTAGAGAGTAATTTTGGCCTTTAATGAACGAAATAAAGATGTCACTAGAAACTACTCTGCGATCGACGAGGCGATGTGACGTAAAGTCTAATGATATCACTGTGTGATTCAGAAACATCTTCAGTCCCGCGAGAAATACGATGACATCATGTAGAAATGTGATTATGTCGGGTTGCGTAGAAAGTTACGTCCCGATAACTTGCGAGCGGATTGAGACTGGAGAACAAATCGAAGGATAAGTTCGCATAAACGGCGGCGGCAGGGATTGCAAATCGTTGAAGAGCAACGTGATATAACTCTCTAACCGGATATGTCTGTCTAATTTGTGTATTTCCTGACTGACACCGATGTCTTTCACCGGGCTCAAAGTTCTCCCGAGGTAAGTCTGTCGGAGAAGTAACGCACGAAACGCACGAGAAAACGTGCAACGATTATCCATAGCTGAAAAGAGTGACTTTTACATTTTCCTATGTTTAGCCATCTCATACTCCGCGCTAGAACGTAATTTTAACTTTTCAACGCATATATTGACTACCACGCGAATGCAATCAAAAATTTATCAGCGAGAGTTTCTAACGTTTGCAAACTGTATATATTAAACTCGACATAACAGCCCGTGAAAAATTACTGTTTATATTACATCTGCACGTTTCAAAAAATCTTGAATGAAATAATCAAATCATTGGAAAGAGACGATTTTATTTTGTTATATATAATGTTCTCAAGACTGCCATCCAGTCATTGGTCACAAAGAAAAAAGATTGAAATAGTTACTGTTTTTCTTAGCAAAATAGGTGACAAAATCGCCGATTCTACGGAATATTCTTTATAAAATAGTACAGATGGCTAAACGACAAGTATCTGATGATGTTTCGAATTTGACGTTCGACACTTACCGGCTCTCACGTTGACGTCACGACTGTGTACCGAACCTGCGGGGGAACGTGCCAAGCAGCTGTATACCTGAGCGTGAACTTCCTGACGGTAATCCTCAGCACGGAAAGGAGGGAACACCAAATTTCCATTCGGTAGAACCTGTGAACAGGCGTTAACATGAAAAATCAAACTCAGGCGATCACCAGTACGCTCACGCGCAGGAAGCTTGAAAATAATTAACGTGTCCTTCGCGATTGCGTGAATGAACGTAGGATGCATGGGTGTTTAATGATTCCATTCACATGTCGCAGAAAAGACATTTGCAGACGGTGGGACGGTTGATAGTTAGTGGCCAGTTAAAAGAGTCGTTCGTCATTTCGCGCGTGGAAGGAAGAATTTATTCACCGATCGATGCAAAAAAACACTTGATCTTTTCTCTCAAAACATCTACCGCTAAAACTAATAAAAAAAAGTTTATAAGAATTTATAATAAAAATATCGTCAGAAATTTAACAAATGTTATCGACACTGAGAGAAATTATAGCTCTTTTCGGCCTCAATTATATAACTTTGATAATTTTACCCACAAAAATAGCAACAGTAATATTCAATTTAGTTTTCGAGGTAACATCGTGTCCTTCAAGGACTTGTTGCCGACGTTTCAGTTCGCTTCTTCAAGGAAAGAAATCGACTCGAAATGTATAAATAAATGTGTGTATAAACGAGATTTGAACAAAGAAAAAAGAAAGAATCAATGTGTGATGTAACACCTGTCTCAATCCGGGAACGTCTCCTACAGCAGTTCCGTCGGCACGAACCCAGATGATATCCGGTTGAGGGTTTCCTCTTGCCTGGCATTCAACGACAGCTCCGGTTCCGTTTGAGAAATCGACTCGGTTTGGTGGTTCCTTGACAAACACCGGTCCCATTGATTCATCTTCAGCCGCAACAACTGCAATCAAGACGCAAAGATTTCCGTTGGTCGCTTTGTTCGAATAAACGGCCGAAATGAATTGTTGGCAAGATAATGTTATTTAATGTTAGTTAATGTTAACAAAATTCACGCGCTTATACCGCTCTCAAGACGAAAAGACGGACCTTTTGGTAATTTTTGTTTAAGATAATAAATGACACGCCACAACTTCAAGTCACTTCTTATAGATATGATTTATTTTAGTCCGGGAACAGCGGCGATATTTCAGCTACGAAAGAGGAACGTTTCGCGAGGAACGAGGCCAGAACAAAGGAATGTTCTATGGACAGAACGAAATGTAAGGGGACTTGATAGCTTGTGGGAACATTAGCGCGGAGCCAATTAATTTAAAGTGTCACGAGCGACGGGACCTTTATCTCGTGCCTTCGAGTTTCTCTTATCATCCGTTTCAACCAGGATATGCGACACCCACATTCAATTGGCGCGTTGCCAATTGCAGCAAACAACAGGTTGTCGGTCTGTTATTGAATAATATGCGAGCAACGTCACGTGACCATAAGGGAGACGACAATGCGTGATTCCTTTTCCGTCGTGTCCGAGTTGCACTCCTCGCTTCACCGCCGGTATCATCGATAGCGAAAAAATATTCCTACCAATATTCCGTTTCAACGCGTTCCATGCGCCTTTAATCGTAATTTTATACGCGTTAATCAATCGTTACATATTTTCATAAGAACTAAAGAACATAGTTTCTTGACTCAGACCGATTAGACACATTTCTACTAAAGCGACTTCCACAACTGACTACGATTTTATTTTTAACCGTGAGATGATATAAGATCAGTGACCTTACATAATTATAGCTAATAACTTATTACCGCGTAATTCAATCATAACTAATAATATTATGGCTCGACGGCTGAACGGACATTTTCCATGTTTCTCGCTCTCATTCGTCTGACAAAATAATTGAATGCAACTGCTCATGGCGGTAGCATGACGCGAATGTTTAGAAATGCAAGTCGCTCGTCGTTCGCGGAGGACGTTCCGAGTTTATACAGGAGTCCACCGTGCTACTTTCTTTGCACGTAGCCACCTACTGATTCACCTACCCACGACGACGACGACGGCTCCGGCGAAGTGAGAGCAAATAAACGCTGTGCAGTATAAAATCAAGTCACGAAGAACCGGTTGGGCGAAGCGTGCGCCGTTGAAGCGAATGGTGGGATATGCGCGCAGGTATAAGGAACAGGTGTCCCGAATTTTTGCGGACTCGCAACGTCTGTTATTTGAACTTTAGCTCGCGTACGCGCAGCTTTAAGTCTTTCATCGTTATCTTACGCCTCTTATAGACGTAATTTCCGCGCGATGCACTTCATTCAAGCGACATTCCGCCGACCGCGACGAAAGTTTGTCCTCGTGGGAAGTTAATCGCATTAATTTGAGGCAGACGTACGAAAGACGAGGAATTTTCAAAACGCAAGTGTCCGTAAGGCGATTTTTCAGATCTTATCGTTTGAATCTCTTTCGACGTTTCGCACAATCCGTTCCCAATGTTAAATGTACGTTTTGTTTTTAAGCGTTTGAAGAGGTTCATTTATTAAGCACCGTATTTTCTGTGGCGAGAGGGCCTCTCATAAATTTACTATTTATCAAGCAAAATTGCGTTTCCATAAATTTATTTCACCAGCTAAATAAGAAATGTAAATTTGAAGCGAAGCTAAGATAAATCTATTACGCACACATTATCAGTTCGATTAACTTTTGTATGATGTATATAAAATAGATTTATCTTATATTTGATCGAACGTTGGAACCTCCTTGAGTTTCTCGATGTCAAACCGACGGCTTTCAGACACTACAATGCAGTCAAGCGGCGCAACGAGAGAGCCAGAAGGATTAAACCAACATGTGGGCATCACAGTGATTAAGTAGACGATTAACTGGTACTGTACGAGCTGTTTCAACGATAATCACACATTTACGTCCAAGGATCGTGTCATTTATGCGCTCTCCGGCACGTGCGCGGTGAAATAATGGCGCAGAGTATTGTCAATATTACGTGACAGATGTAGTACGTTGGACAACGTGGATATCACAGTCACACGAAGAGGTGCCCCTTAAAAATTTTCTCCCGAGATTAAACTCTCACGCCTTGCCGATGAAAGGCGAGATTCTTCCCGGTCGACAACCGCCCTGTAATCTATATATAGAGAGGAAGCTTTGAAACGTCCGGACACGCTGCATCGAATATATTTCCAGGGCGCACACATGCGCACACGTGTCGCCGCACGTGTCGCTCACGTGTGTGTGTGTGTGTGTGTGTGTGTGTGTTCACGCCCGCTCGTGTATCTGTGTGTCGGAACGCAAGATGCCGTGACGTGCATTATAATGAGAAATACATCTCAAAAGCACAAAGCCGGCGATACCGCCGAAGAACAACGGCACGAATCGATTAAGCAGTCATCAGACGGAGCTATCACGGCGAGATTCTTTATTTGTTCAAAATTCAACCCTCATCCTAGAAACGCGCTTGTCATGAGCTCCGGTAAATTCCATCGATACATTGCAAGAAAAATAAGATCAAGCATATTTTAGACTTCCGCGAAGTAGATAACTACTTAAGTAAAGAGATGTATTTTTTCAATGGATATTGACAACATATCTACTTAAATTTCATGCAAAGCTCCGGATTTAAGAAAATGTATATTCTCTCATTAAAAAAAAAATTGCCCCAGTGTGAAAATATGTATATTGATATAAATAGATAGATTATTAATGTTATAATATTTACGCACCAAGTAAATATTATTTTTTTTAGGTTTCTCTCTCTCAGTGTATATTTAATGTTTTATCTTCTTTTTTATTTAGAAAAAATATCATGTACCATGAGATATCGTGCACATAACATTACAATAAATATTAATTTCAATATACAATTATCTCTTTGCTGCTTGAACAAATGGCGGAATTTCTACTTTTTATAATCTAATGATTTTCTAAGGTGTTATGGGATTAATTAATAGTTGATATCTCTAAAAATTATAGAATTATCGAAATTGTCGTGCTTCTTTCTCTCTCTCTCTCTCTCTCTCTCTCCCTCTCACGTTAACGATGCGAGCACGTATCAGTGACCACGAGGGTGGATCCTCGTGTGGGTAGAAGTCTAGAGAAATCCTTAAATCTCCGACTTTCGGAGCTTCTATGGCCTCTTCGACTTCGGCCGCGTCTATTTCTGAAACCTCCTGCAGTAGACGCAGAAACACCGTGTGTTTTGCGTTTATACCGTTGTTTTTCTCAGCTCTCAGGCGCAAACATTGCGCCCAATTTCGTCGCAACTGTGATCTTTCGCAGTCAAATGCATACATGTGTATGATCATCATTGCGACCATCTTCCGTAATCCTTTTCTTCCAATTTCCGTCCGCGACTCGAAAATCGAAGAGGTATTCAATGGACATCCATATCTTGGCGATAAACGCTCAAATCTCGGGCGTAGTAGCTTCTCCCAGGTGGAGCACGCGGGCTTCGTATCTACAGCAGCAGGCTGATTCACCTGGTAGCAGGCTCCGCGGCCAAGTGCAATTCTCTCCGAAGCATGTGAGCCTGCATTCTGGGAACAGCAGCTGTTTCCTTCCCTCGATCTCCTCGTCCCCTTTATCTTAGTCTTCCCTGCGGCAGCTGCGCTGCGTGATCCGCCCGTACCTATACCCGAGATCTTTCATGATGCCAACCGACCGCCCGTTTGGCTCAAAATGTGCGGATACAATCACACCGACAAAAGCGACAACCTGGACCGTTACAGTCGGTCACAAAGAATAAGACGAAAGAAAAAAAGAGATGGATATATTCCCGATATTGCTGCGCCATAACAATTATATCCGAATGAAGGCGTCACGTTGAAGTCAATGAGAGAACGTTCAACGCTACGTGACTTTTAACAATAATTTGAACAACGAATTTATGTAATTTTTTTAGCAAATTGAGTTAATTCCTTATTACTCGACTTTGTGCCAAATAGGACAAAACCCTATATGAGTATTCCGTATGAAATGTCAAAAATAATAATTTCCCATTTCATTTTGATAATTGTGCAGATTTCGCAAATTAAATCTTGCGTTGGCCTTTATTCGATGTTTTCGTTTCCTAATATTAATATATTAATTTCTAATTTTACTAATATTTCGCAAAATACTTGCGTGACGACCAGTTTGCACGTCTAATAATTGAAATTGATTACGTCTAATCTATAGAATTTCTATTACGTCTCGATAGAAGTTATCTATTACCTACGGAATTAGTTCGAAATAATTAATAATAATCGAAAAACATTGAAAATATACATATCTCATATATTAGGGATATAGAAAAGTTTTAGTCTTTTTTCAGCGTTCCTATATAATTATTTTAAATTCAAATAATTTCCCGTCCTTTTGTGTATTTGTAAGGTTAAGGAGGCAACTCGATTTTTAGTGTCCAAAATGCGTTCTTTTATTGCATTATCTGAAAGTATGCACTTTTAAAAATCTATTCTTCCAATCCACATCGAAAAATTCGAAAAATTACGAAAGTTACAGCCTGTTATTCGAAGCGACGCGCAGGTCTAAATCATAGCGCTCACCGCACCTTTTGAGATTTCGGCGTACAATAACTGCAGTAAAAATCCTACGATCTTTCGGCATACTTAAAAGGTTTAAAGGTTTGCTATGTATTGAAACCAGTTCTAATACGGTCCTAACACGCACCAGTCCTGTACAAACACGAGATGTAAAAGCTGTTTTGTTTGTCTTCAGTCGTTGCAAATCGTTCTCGAAAAAGAAAATTTTGCGGAAATGAACATACAATTGAGACTCAAACCGAAATCGCGAACACGTCAGCACAAAAGTTAGAGTCGAGCGAAACAGAGTTTGTTACCGACGGTATTCATGGTTATCGTTTTATAAATTTTATTCCCGTTTTCACAGCACCATCACAAATGATAATCTACCGTCAATGTAAAGAAGATGTGCAGATGTGCAACAGCTAACCGCGGACTTGGCTTTAAAATTTCCGTCACGTGCAATTGCGGCGTAAGAACCATTGAATTATGTCCGACAATTAATAAGGCGTATGAAATAAATAGACGTATAGTGTTTGTGATGCGATTACTAGGTATATCGAAAGATATACCTAGGCGTAAATCTGTTTTGTGCATTGATGGACCTGTGCCAAGGATTAACATATACATATAAAATGTTGTTTTACAAAATGTACATACAGTATCGCGCAACGTTTTTGATTTCCTCACAAAGCCGTAAAAGAAACAGAAGCAAATATTCAACGTGTGAAAGTACCGCTAAATATTACAGTGTCCGGTGACGGTTCATGAAAAAAAAAAGAGGATATAACTCGTTACTCGGAGTAACAACTTTAATAGCAGAATACACTGGTAAAATTATCGATCTCAGGGTGAAATCTGGTTATTGTCAAGTCTGCAAACGTGCTAAAAACCATATGAGTAAAGAAGAATTTAATTTATGGAGTCAGGAACACGAAGAAGAATGTTCGGCAAATCACTATGGTTCAGCAGGAGCAATGGAAGTCGAGTCGGTAAAAGAAATGTTCAGCGGATCAATGGAAAAATTCGACATCAGATACACCACTTACATCGGAGACGTCGACTACGAAACTTATAAAGCAATTGTGGACATGCAACTCTATGACAAGGACATCACGGCATTTTGACCGTGTGAATGACCGACTACGCTCTGGAACGTCACGAAAATTGAAGACGGACGATTTAGAAGCGTCGTTGAATGAAAATTCGTCACAGACGCAAAAAGAACTTACAGAACAGCTAGGAGTTGACGCAAGCAACACTTTCAAGACGACTGCATGAAATGGGAAAACTTCAGAAGCTCGGAAAGTAAATTCCGTACGAACTCTCGAGAAACAGTATTATCCGTTTAAACATATGCATATCATTGTTTCCCAGACACCGTAAGAATTTTTTATGGCACATTGTTACCAGAGACGAACGTACAAAAATGCCAATATCATCTCATTCATGCATTTGGGATGATGCAAAAGTTCGTTTTTAAATGAGTTTTTCGTAAGAAGAAACCTCAGAATTTCTACGAGAGCGGAATTAAGCAGCTGCTGGAGAGATAGCAAGTTATCGAACAAAATGCTTAATTGAATATATTTGAAAAGAAATAAACATTGTATGTATATTTTATTATATAAAGTGTTCAAAAAATCCTCGGATGTTCTAGTATTTAAGGTAAGTTTTTCTACCACAAAAATGTTTCAGGCAAAAATTGTAATACTTAAGAAAATCATCTAATGTATAGCGTACTCGTCGAGCATCTAATGCGTAAAAATCGTGGCATGTATCTATAGAGTACATTTGTTTTTTGGTCATTGGTGTAAATTTTATGACCGGCATCCGTCAACGATTCTCCGTGATTACCGGCTTTTATGACGCAGAGAAACGCGGCGTGAACGGGATCGTTTGAAATTGACTCACCGTTTGTCAATGCCAAGACAGTAGCCAGTAGGAACATTGCGAAGATATGGGTGGGTATCTTGCACCCACCTCCTGGTGGTTCTCGCCACATCCTTATCCCGACTTCTCTGAGCGCACTGATTTTCACCTGATGTCACATAAAGCACACCGATGAGCGACACGTTGGCTAACGTAATGCGATCGCTGATGATCCGCCCCGATGGTATTTCGATTAGATATTGGAGAAAAACTCTCCTCCGGGCAATTGACGAAATTTTAACAATCATTGAACTGAACGCGTTAGTTAATTCGGCAGATGAGCGCGAAAGCACTTCGGTTAAGTTCAAGGTCGGTCGGTTGCTAGCCGTTGGAGGCGCGCGTAACAATTACTTTAAACGTGATCGTGTGTGTGTGTGTGTGTGTGTGTGTGTGTGTGTGTGTGTGTGTGTGTGTGTGTGTGGCACTTTAGCATGCATTAAAGAAACTCACGTAGGCTAATTTCTACCGCTTTCAAAGCACGTGTAATCCCTCGTCCTCTGTGCTCATAGAAGACATAAATATTTCTCGATCAAATTGCACAATTGTAAAACTTACTAATCATTATTTAACGTATCTCCCACCCTTATCAAAGAAAATAAGTATGTTTTAAACATGTATTGATAAATTTTGGCCGAAAATAGTCGTTAAAGACGATGTTAAAATTAAATTGAGATTTCTATTGTATCCAATATATTACAATTTCCTCGGTAATAGCCCGATGAGAAAGAAAGAAAGAGAGAGAAAGAGGGAGGGAGAAGAATTCCAAGTGTAATTACTAAATGAGAGAATTTCACATATAAATTGTATAATAAAATAACTCGAGTAATTTACATGTAACATAATAATAATAATAAATTTACATGTTTATGAATTACTCGTAGGACGTGACCCTATTTATTACAAATAACGCAGCGATATCTATGTTAGGAAAAGGGGAAGTTTGCTAATGTATATGATAGATGAGAACAAGCATGTAAAGGATAACAACGGCTCACATCACTGACCCATAACCGTCATTATTAGTCTCGGTCGTAGCTCTCTTCCAGAACCGGCGGAAGTTAAAGTTCAAATAATCAATCTTCCCAACTGCCCGCGTCGATGCCGTGCGTCGTGACTCGTCGACCGTACCGTTTAACCGCACGAGCCTCGGGGAGAAACTCGAATAAATTCTGAAAATCGCGAAGCATCCTCCACAGTCCTCAGCCGATCGCGCAACGACGCCCCGGGAAGAGCGGGCCGCGTTGAGAAAAATCGCAGGGAAAAATTCCGCAGAAGTCGGAAGTCCCTTTCAGAGCTGCTGGTTCGCGATAATCCGCGCAGAGCGCGAACGCGCTATCTCTCCCTGCGGAACGGGGTGGAAGAGCACGTGCTGAATCGTTGATAGCGAGGGTTACGGTTGGAGAACGGCGGAAGAGACCGGCTGGAGGGCGCGGGAGGGGCACTCATGCTTGGGAGGGGATGAAGAGGCAAGGGGGGAGAGGGGGCGAGGAGGGACAAAATGTGGCGGAGTTGAACGGCTCGTCACGGGGCTGCTCCCTCTCGGGGCGAGTTTATTGATCGCAGGGTGCGGAGCGGTTCTATCTACCCCTCGCGCGACGGTGTGCGCCATGCTACCATCCGGAGCTAGCCAGGCGGCCGCGATGGTGCCCGTGGACCCCCCGGTTAAATCCACACGGAGGCCCCTCACGCCCCCCGGGAAGCAGCCGCCGGGCAACAGGAAAATATACAACCGCCCGCCGTCGGCAGCCGTTGTCCCTCGCGCGCGGAAGCCGATTGATCGCGCTGCAAAATCGGAACATGACGCCAGCACCTACGTCATCGTGTCGTGCCGTGTCACTCGTTGCATCGTGTAAATTGAAATTTCGATTGAAAGCAAAACGAGAGACCGAGTCGCGGAAACCGGGTGCGAGCGACGCGATGTATGTAGGAGCGCGTCATCGTTAAAAAGAAATTATGAGAGACGACCCACCCGGAGTCCTCGTGAGAAGACGAGGAGTCGCACAGGGGTGAACGGCTGATCCTTCTCGCGCAGGGAAGATGATCAGCCGTTCACCCCCCTCGCGGCCGACGCAGGAGAAAAGAGTCCCCACGCCGAGGAAATCCCGTCTCGCAGTCTCGGCAGAAAAACGCGAAATCTCACGACCGTATGAGAGAAGCGGAGGAGCGGAGGCAAGAAGGGAATTCCGTGCAGACTCCTCTCCAATACCTAGACTGGGTCTTGAGTCTGAGAGAACGATCGGCACGGAGATGCGCACGGAGCGGCCGTCTCCTATTATTAACGAATTGCAACTTTCTCTCTCCCTCTCTCTCTCTCTTTCTCCTTTTTTTTTGTCGAATGAACAAAGTGACATTTGTTCCATGACGATTATCAACGATTATCTCCGTGGCTTCCATCGAGGTCCAGCGACCATCAGCGATCGCGTCTTGCCGAATTCTTCTCCTGGCTCTCGCTGTTAAAGGCCGATTCGAAGGATCGCTCATAGATCGGCACACGACAGCGCGCACACAGAGCACGATCACTGCTGCCATTCCACGCGCACACACACACACACACATACGCACGCGCACATACACGCAGATGCACACACACGCACACCCACGAGCGAGATTTCGCAAAATCGGCCGATCTCTGCTCGTCTTCGCGGACGATCTCTCGGCTTCCTCGAGATCGGCGCTCTCAGCCGGTGCTCGCGCGCGCCGATCTTTACGTACCAACGACACTGTCGTGGATTTGCAGGGACGCACAGATGCACGCCGACCACACCGATCGGAGCGATTAAACGAGCACTCCGGGTCCGTGAACGACCGACCGTAGAGTGCGGCGTCGTTTGCTTCGGAGCAGCGGCTGCTCCTCGGCAATCTCGAGGTCGGAGGCGGTGGAGGTGGCGGTGGGGATTGTCGGCGTGAGCAGTGTGAACGCTCACGCTACTCCACAGGGTGGGGGCTGCTTCTACGGCAGGGCCGACTGGAAGGTTTAACCCTGTGCCAGAGGCGAAATTGAAACAAGGGTGGACCTTTCGAACGACAACGTGTGGTCGCTTCTTTTCAAAAGAATCCGCTCATTTTGCGTACCCAGCAGTGCACGCGATGTTCACTTGTATTATAGGACTACATATACAAAAGTATATGTCAGAGCAGGAGAATATAATGGATGTAACATGTAATTTTATGGACGAAAATCCTGGAAGGACGGAGCAGTAGAGGGAACGGTGAAAGAAATCATTAATAACTCGCATCTTTTTCCCCCTTCGAGAAACGTAAAATAAAAAGTTCCTCGACAACGCGGCGGAATAGAGTAACAAAGGGAAAATGATGGGAGAGACAATTAATAACTTATGTTTCGATTTTCTTCTTTCTCTTCAATTTGAAACTAGGATCAATCGAGGATTAAGGTTAATCAGGGATTATCAATTAATCGTATGTGCGAACTCTTTTAATTAAATTGCAGCAAATTGTCGCGTCTAACACGTATTTCGATCAGGGTGCTGAAAACTGATGAACCGACACTGCCGGTTGGTCGACCTTTGTCGCACGCGGCGGAAACGGCCAATGGACCAAATATATATGAAATATGTATATTCGTGTGTAAATGTATGTGCGAGCGTGTACGCATCCTTGTGGATATCTGCGAAATGCTCTGACTCACGTTGCGCCGATAAACGATTACGGATGATTACACAAAGCTGATAATTACGCCTGGCGGAGAAGCCAATTATGTTACAATATAACTGCGTAATACTATGAAAATAACGTAACAATAAGAATTAAAAATCATAAGATTTGTATTGTAATGTATTTTTAAATTAACACAGCATATTTACGTAATAAAGGTCGATAATTAAGGAGAGTTTTATAAGAACGTCTCAAATATCAATCTTATAAATTACCAATGAACTAATATAGTTCGTGTTTGTTGCAGTAATAATTTAATTAGTTACATTTAACTGATATTTCTAGCTTTGACGGTTGATAAAGGATAAAAAATGTGTGAATTATTTCATTGCATTTAAATTTAATGTGACCCGTAAGAATGCGTACATCTTATATTTTTATGTTATTTCTGAAATATTATCACTGAAATTATTTAAATAATTTTATTACACATTAATTTCAGCTTTTACTTGAAATCGCTTATACATTTGGATTTCGACAAAGTTATTTAGCTTATAATTTTCTTATAATTTTAATATCACGACCAAGTAATTGAGATTTTTCTGAAAGAATTACATAAAATATAAACATAAAACATGATATTTATCGCAAGATATGATTTTAAATCATTTGAAGATGGCGGGATTGAATATCAGTGATGTTGCTACGAACGGCCAAAATTATTGAATAGAACCCATTTTACATTGCAAATGCTTTGAAGCGCCATTAGACCGTAGACAAAAGGAAGACCGAGTGTAAGGAATGGAGCACGTAGAAAAAGATGCACTCTGTTTCGTGTCCCTTGCGTTCTTTCTCGCTCGCGTGGTTTATGTGCATGTCATACTATAGACATGCGTATTGTAACCGAGTGTCACTGAACTAGTAAATGAAGTCGATGTTAAGCCGTCCGAACCACACCGACCTCTGAAGATTATCTTCTCCACGGATCCCGCTGCCCTTACACGGTCGCCAGGGCGTTTTTAGAGACTCGCCCAAACTCTAGGCCTAGGAAGCTGGACCGGCCAAGTCTCCCCAGATGTGCCGTCTAGTAATGTGTGTCGTGGAGGGATTTCCCTCCTCAGCAGGGCTGTCGTCACCGAAGAGATGCCTAGAGTCGCAGAACGCCCGCCTCGGACACACAGTATGAAGGAGGGAAGGCACGAAAATGAAGCACGTATTCTTCGAAGCGATTAACTAAACTCTATTTATTAAAACTAAAAAACACCAGCGCGGTAAATGATAATGAGGTCAACAAATAGAAATATGGATTACAAATACTCTAAAAGAATAACGCAAGACAAACGAAAATATCATGAAAGGCTTGAATCTGATTAACGCGCTTAGAAACTACGAAACGAATATATATATACAAGTAATACTTATGATACAACGCAACTAACAATAATGAGATAAACTCCTGAACGAATACTATACGAATCTATCTCGTAGAAAGAACGCATATGGAAGATGGAATTATTTCCGCGAACCGGTACGTCAATAAAAAAAAATGTCGCGACGCAATTTTGCCCGCGGCTTCTTTATCTTGCCCTATTGCGACGCAGGGCTCTCGTTGTAAACAAGTCGAAACTCGATCGGACGCGCGCGGCGAGACGACAGTATGCGTCGTTTATCGTGCCGGGATACCCTTTGATCCCGCCGGCGACGGGCTTATTTCCTTCCGAATGAAATTCTCTGATTCACGTCGCGTGACGCGCTTCTGACGTCGCGATCCGCATTAATTTACGCACCGGACGCTTTATTTTCTTGACGAAGGGTCTCGGACGAAAGAAAATTACGGGGGAGAACTGTGGCAAATTTATATACAACTTACCATCGCCAGAGCGACCGATCGTTTCCCTTCGTCTCCCAGGCCTCTGCTTCTGGGCTGATACCGGAGCGTCCTCACAGGCTTTTCCCTTGTGCCGCAGCTCCTTGAAGATCCTTCGTCTCTTTTCTCTCTGCGCGGTTCTCGGCTTCCTTGGCTTAACGTCTTCTCGCCTCCAGCGTCTGCTCGCAACCGCCTGCCTTGCTTCTTTCTCAATTTCAAACGTTATCTCTTTCTCGCGATCCTTCCTGATTCGCTGTCGGCCCCGGCCAATCGCAGTCGCGCCTCGCTTTTGTATCAGCCTGGGTCCGCGATGCCACTTAAAAGTGTTCTTGGTTTTGTTTTGGTTCCTTGGGTGGTCTCCCTCTTCTCCTGGTCAGCCGCACTCTCTTACGCGGCTGAACCTCCGGTTGCAGTATAAACCACGCGAGCGAGAGAGAATACAAGGGACACAAAATCCTTACGTGTATTTTGACGCTTAAGATAACAAGCCAATCAGAGTTCTATGTTTGTATCTTCATGATGGAAATGAAGAATCCTGATTGGCTCGCCTTCTTGTGCGTCATGCCTTATGCGCTATGCCGAAGTGTGTGCTTTCCGCTTTAGGTTTACTACACCTATCGTACACTCGGCTTATAACTACGTTTACACGGCAACGTTAATCCGGTTTAGTAACAATTGTAGTTAATGAACTTGCATCCGATTGGTACATTCTTTCAGACCTGAAAATATACTCCAATTAAACGCAAGATCTCACTAACTACCGTTGTTATTAAACTGGATTAACATAGCCGTGTAAGCAAAGGCTATGTTAATCCAAGAAAACACAAGCGATCAGTAAGCGATCGATGATTACTGTTAGATCTCTAAATTTGAACCAATTATGTTGACGAATTACTCAACAGTTTGTACAACTGTTGTATTTTCTGAACGCAACTTACGGTATGACAGTTCAGTCTTACCAACTGTCGAGTCAAAAACCTCGTGGCTTGTCGGTGTGATACTTTACAGGTCTCTTGTAAACAGATGTCAAAATGGTAAATAAAGATCAAGTGAATAAAGACGTGCAGGAACTATTTCAGGATGACAAATATTCGATTCTGCTTCCGACTTACAACGAAGTCGAGAATTTGCCAATAATAATATGGCTTATTGTCAAATATATGGAAGAAAGGTAACAGAACGGCCCCTCATAACCTCGAATCAGGAAACGTATGATTAACGATTCAAAGAAAGAGGAAGGAGAAATAAATAAATTTAAGCCACACATCCGAAAAGGGATATTGTTAAACAAACATCTGCGATATTACAGTAAACTCTCCTATGAAATCATCGTGATAGACGATGGTTCTCCAGATGGTACTCTGGACATGGCTAAGCAGCTGCAACGCTTATACGGCGAGGACAAAATAATCCTGAAGCCCAGAGAAAAGAAGCTTGGGCTAGGAACCGCATATATGCACGGAATTGAATTTGCAACTGGCAATTTCATCGTCATCATGGATGCCGACATGTCTCATCATGTACATATAATATTGACAGATAACTTGCGTACATACAACAGCGATAGGTGTTCCTGTAAAAAATAGCTTTTACCTTGCAGCCCAAATTCATTCCAAAAATGGTCGAGCTACAGCGATATCTCGACCTGGATTTAGTCAGTGGCACAAGGTATGCGCAAGGCGGCGGTGTCTACGGCTGGGATTTCAAGAGAAAGCTGATAAGCAGAGGTGCAAATTTCCTGACTCAGCTCCTGCTGAGGCCTGGCGTGAGTGATCTAACTGGCAGCTTTAGGTGGTAGACCCTTTCTCTAAATTCATCGTCATACAATACTCGGCATCCTAATGTATTCCTCGACTCCACGGTTTCAGGCTTTACAAGAAAGATGTGTTGAAAAAGCTGATAACGTCTTGTGTCTCGAAAGGATATGTGTTTCAAATGGAGATTATCGTCAGAGCTAGGCAGTGGAATTACACGATAGGAGAGGTGCCGATCACATTTGTCGACAGAGTCTACGGCCAGTCCAAGCTGGGTGGATCGGAAGTGTTTCAGTTCGCGCAGGGTCTCCTGTATCTCTTTGCCACTACGTAAACCGAACATTCTATTGTGATAATAACAGTCCCATTTCCTCCGTATGTCCTTGTCAAGTCTTTTGACATAGAAATATATTTCAGATTTTGTATCGGTCAGCAAATTACTATACATGATTACATGTTAGAGAATAATTTTGTATGTGTATATATATATATATGTATATGAGATGCTACATACGTTTACATAAATAAATCGATAAGGCATTACGTTTAACTCGAATAATTATCGGTGTAACTGGACGAAATTTTATTTTCCCGTACTTTCGGAATATCAGGCTGAAATCCGGCAGACTATAACATGGAGCGTATAGATGTTACAGTCGTTGCACCGACGTGCATGTCAAATCGGTTGGTTTGAATGTTCGCGAGAGCAGGTCGCGTCACATCAGATATTTCTGTCGCGTGAATATTCTCACGCGTTGCGCTTTTAGAGGGCGAATATCCTTGTTCGAGGACAAGCCGAGTCGCTTTATAACGCGATGCACGTGCGCCCACACGTGGCTGCGAACGATGAAAAGGTGCGCGCATATATAACGATTCTTGCGCGGGCTTGTCCACCCTCGCCGCACCCTCTGACGTCACGCAGCCTCCGTTTATTGATCCATTACGAAATTACGGTCTATATTTCGACGCAGGTAGAATGCAAGACGCGAGCAGACCGTGTCGACCGGAACGTGTGGGTATTAACTCGAGGAGCAAACTTTACGACGCGACGTGTCTATTATAAAGACAATTTCCCGGCGTTTCGCACATGACATCTCGACTTCCTCGGTTGATCTACACCGCGCTTGATCGCTGAAAAGGAGAGACTACTTTTATTGAAGAATTAAAATCTCTCGGCGCAGTCCCCGCTCATAATTGTTCTTTGCGACTGAAATGTTCAAAAAAATAGATTAAAATAAAGCAAAAGGGAAATTTATTCGTTAATTTTAATTGAACGACCTGAAAGAAAGGAGGTTTTCAGGCACGGCCGGAGGAAGAATTAATTTTTTATGTTCGACCGCTTCTTGCCAGAGTGAAAGTAAATCGATGAGAAAATAAGAAAGCGCGGAAAGCACTTCCGTCGTCGTGGAACCGCGCTTTGATCCTTCGCGTCACGCGAGAGGAATGAATCCCTGCTGAATTCCCTTCGACTAATTCACCCTTTTTCCCCGAGTACGACTATAGGGAGACCGTTCGACGTCAGTGTCATTACAGCGTCCCTTTAAATGTATGCGTGCACTCGCGAATTTACGCATGCCTTTTCGCCGGAAAATCCTCCGAGCCTCCTCGACAGCAGCAGCGAGCGGCGTAGAGACGGTGGTTGCGGTGGGAAGGCAGTTCTGTCGCAAGCTTCGCCGCGGCCGGACGTGCAAGTGTGGGCTGGCATGCGCGCCGGGGTGAAACTTGCAAGCTCCCCCTTTATCGAGCTTGCAGATGGCTGTGCCTTTTAGATTTTGACGTGTCCCTCCGTTCCTCTCCCCGTTCGTTCGTTCGCTCGTACGCTTCACAGTGTAACCATCTCGGCCGCTCGACTCGTCGCTCGCTTCGCCGACGACGACGACGACCAGCAAGCTTCAGCATGCCCAGGAAGGTCGGATTCAACGTCGTCTACGCCACGAGTAAGGCCGCGCCGGGCTCGGCGATCGTAACGCAAAGCGCGGATTAACCTCAGCCGCCTCGGGCGGAAAAGAGCTGAGAATCCGTACGGACCGACATTTGGAACGATAAAAAAAAAAGGAATCAAGCGAACGGGAAATATCGACGAACGCTTTCCGGAGCGCACAGTTCCGTCGACCTGATACAACGCGCGATATATCGGACGCGTTACAACGTGAGGAGCGGTGCGAATAATTTATGATTTGTGTTCTCGCGCGAGAGGGGGATTAGTAATCGGCGTAATTAATATATTTGCCTGGAAAGAGCCTGTGAACGAGTAAAATTGTGCGGAATTTCTCTTCGCCTCCCTCCCTCCTCGGCGCGCCTCGGAAATTCACCCTCTGCCGCCTCAGGCCCGTACGATTCTCAGCGCTTCAATTATTTCGACGATATTCGCGACGACTTTCGCCGGGAATTTCCGCCGGGACCGTCGCGGTTTGAAGTCGCGCCTCTCTCTCTCTCTCTCCCTCCCTCTCGTCGGGGCATTCTGATACATTGATTTTCCATGACCAAGACCAGCGACAATTCCCGACGATTTTCCACGGGGCGTGTTACCCCCAGCACGTGCCCCCCGCGCTCTGATCGGCGCGAGTAATCGGATTTGCGCTGCATCGCGAAATTGTCTTTGCGAGAAACGCATCGGAAATTGTCGTATACTCGCGAACGCCGGCTGGCACGGCTCGATGATGCACCCCCCCGCGACCGCACGGCGACGTGGTGCGGTCGTAAGTCGCGCACAAAATTGCGGTATCGCGTGACAGCGGCCGACATTGCGCCACTTCCACCGTAAGATGTATTTTGAAAGTCTAAAGAGCGAACGATAGCATCGGGGGCGTCGAGATTTTCTTGTAAGCGGAAGTAACGCCAGTCGTGAATGTTGAAAAGCCCGGGCGAGAAAATTGGCAGTTACGGTGGAGGAAAGGAAACTCGAAAAAAAAAAACATGTCCGAGTGAAATTACGTAGGAATATGTAACATCCCACGCACAACTCGGTGTGTTAATAATTAAATAGCGTACAGTAAGAACCTCCTCGAACGTGTTCGATCGACATTCAGCCTAGCCGGATGCCTAGCTCGCAAACCTACATATATATTTCATATATCACCGTGTGACGCGATTATTAATCTTAATTGACTTACAGGTAACTGATCTTCTCAGCAGCGAGGAAAATAATCAAATTAGCGAGGGAAATTTTCAAGTTTGATTTGAAGCAGTGTCGAAAATAAAAAAAATATATATCAAAACAGTAATTTCTATTGTCGATGTTAATACGTCGCGAGTAACGTGCGAAACGCGTCTTATTGAGAGGAAAAAATTGTTTCACCACGGTACCACGGAAAGTGTTTGAATTTGTATTAGAAGAAGCATAGCGGTTGTTACTTCGATAGTAGAAGGATTGAGAGCCCGATTAATTGGACTCTGATATCTAATTTATTCCAAAGGCGAGGAAGACAGGCACTCGTCGTTAGAGCTTAACGTTCACGGGCCGACCGTGAGGGGTTGGCAAAGCGCGAGAAACTGCACGTATCCTCAGGAACTTATCCTACGTCTTCATGGACCCACGAAACTTACAAGGATACAGGTCCTGGCTCACCAGTATCTCATTCGTAAGTCCGTACTTTTACAATTTAGCCGTTATTCGCGCTACAATTAAATCTATTTTTTGTTTTTATATGAACCGGTTTTTAATTCGGTTTAATTAAAGGAAAAAAAATAATGGACTTTTCAGAGCCGAAACACGATTTTTTTAGTGCTATTGAATATCAATACAGGGTGTCGCAAAAAAATGTTACCATACTTTATGTAGTTCGTTATAAACATTGAAAGCAAATTGTACGATATTTAATAAATACTTTATAAAAGGTCAAAGTACCTTGTATTATCAATTATCCTTTGGCAAAGATATATTAATATTTAGTAGCACTAGAAAATCCGTGCTTTGGCTCTTAAAAGCCCGTTAATCTTCCCTTCATTTTCCTTCTTTAATAAAACAATAAACGATTGTAAACATTAAACTGGCGATTATTTGTAAATACATATAAAAAGCAGAGATAAAACATTGTACGCTGAAAAAGAAAGGAATATTTTGCTAACGTTATATGTGCGAAAGTATTCTTTTCTAAAAATATCTTAAATCGCTTATAGAATTCTAACAAGTTACGTAACTTTAGAGATAAAAATATTAAACGCAAACAACAGTTTTCTCCCGACGCGATTAAAGCCCCACCATTGAGCGTTAAAATGTCATTCCCGCTAAAAGGCAATTTACCGACAATGAAAATCGAATCAACGAGCCTACTCCGATTTCCCGGGGCTACATCGCCTCCGCCTCTCTCTTTCTCTCTCTCTCTCTCTCTCGTTCGTTTCTTCTGATTGCACCGGCGGAAATGAAACCGTAACGGGCGGCGGAAGAATTATGTCGGTTTTCTACACGGGATTGTAAAGCCGGATATGAATCCGCCGATGAAAATTAACATCGTCATTTTCGCGAGAGGCGTGAAAACGCAACATAATTCGTTTTCATTGCAGCCGAGAAACTGGAGATCTGGACATCGAGGGAGGAAAATGCATCCGCTTCGACGGACTTCAGTTACCTGGGCTACATCACGCTGTCCGATAACGCCTCTACCCTTTACAAGAGCAGAGAGCTGAAAAGCGTGGCTCTTCCGGAGACAGAAGCGGTGTCGCTGAAGCTTAGACTACATAAGCCGCACAGTAACGCGCACAACATTTATTGTCAGGTACGCGAGCCCCGGCAAGTGATTAAAATGTTTATGAAATATTTCAAAACAAAGTAAAAATAAAATCAAGCGTGAAACGGAGGATAGATTCGATCGAATAAAAATAGGAAGGACTTTCAACGGAGAATAAAAAGCAGAGCTTTTTACTTACTAGATATTTAAAAATAAAATAAAAGTAAAACATATAATATAAAGTAATTCTTGTTTTCCGTGCAGAGTCGATAAAAAGAATATTGTCAACAGAGAATAAGAACAGAATTTTTTTCTTAAATATTCTACAGTTTACGGAGTGTTTTTATCGTATAGGTTGGCCTTATCGCTATTAATATACTCGGCGAGCCTTACGGCCAGGAATTGACCGGACAAGGGGACGCCCCGTATAATCCGCACTATACTTCGCCTTACGACGACCTAGCATTCGAAATGTACGTCGACCGGGAAGTGGCTAAAATTATAAGGCAAATGGAAGCGAAGAAGCTGCAGGCAGTGGAAGGTAATTACCGTTGCATTATTTTATATATTACATATATCATATAATATATCGGCATATCAAATGTTTAACGCTACACGAATAAAAGAAACAATTCCGTTGGTGTGACTGAACTTTCCCTTGTCTGGGGACTAGACGAAAATTCAGTTATTCGAAAACCGAGTTTTTCCCATGTAAAAAGAAAAGATGCTCGCATCTCGAGCGTTAATTACAAATGCATTTTGAATTCGACCGCACTTAAACCGAACGAGTTGCAAGTTGTCGTCGAACGGGAACACGACGTTGCCATCTTTCACAGAGGAGAGATTCGAGTACGCCTCAAAGCTGAAGGTCGCGATGGAGAATCTGCGGAAAGCAGGCGAACGCCTGGGCAAATACGAGCTGGAGAAGAAGTACGCCATAGCACTGGAGGATTATGACAAGGCGAAGGCTAAGAAGGCCCAGGCCCAGCAGTACAGACAGCAGGTCTATCAGTCGTTGGAGATATACAACTTGCTCGAGGTGCACGGGGTGAGTAAGCGACATTCCCGGCGGCGATTCTCCGACAATGATTGTCGAATTCTACCCGATGACGCAGCCCATGGAGAAGAACAACCTGTCGTCCGTGCAGAACAAAGAGCCGATGTCAGCCGAGACGTGCACCTCCAACACGGCGGTGGTGGTTCCCGACGACATCACGTCTCCCCCGAGACTGGTCATCCCACCTAATCGCGACGGCGCCTTGTCGCCCACTGGCCCCGCACATCAACCGCCCGTGTCGCCGTTACACCAGAAGCCCAACAGTCCTGGTAAAGCTCGTATACGATATCCTATGGGACATCCTTTGTTTAATTTTAATTAAATTTAAAAAACTAAAATTAAAAGAATCGAATAAAAATTAAATAAAAATTAAATTAGGAGAAAAATCGAATAAAACGAACCAACTACCCAAAAAATTATATACGTTAATTCGAGGTCGAAAATCATACCTTCAAAGGACGGTCAGACACGAATAAAGCGTACCGTTATTCATTCCTTTACATGCTCACAAGTTAGTGTAATAGTGTTTCTTCCAAATCGAAAAGTTCGGTTTCGCGGTGTACCCTTATGAGTGATAATTTTTCTCTCTTTTTTTTAAGAGAATCGTGATCTCTTTTCGGTGTAATTTAGATCGCTCGAATTTTTAGAACGATGTCAGGTCCCGCGTAACGCCAAATTTTCCTGTTGCCCCGTTTCTCAGAGGTAACCGACAGCCCTACGAATGGTGTCCTCGAGAGGCAGAGTAACTGCAACAAGGGATCCCTCAGGCGGAAAACCAAGTCGGCTGGTCCGGCACTTCGCTCGAGCTACGAGGCTTACGAGGAGAGGACCATCCCCGCTCTGAGACAGTACGACATTGCATTAGCGACAAGGCGGTAAATCACGGTGTGGAGATTCATCGATTTCTCTTTCATTTTCAGCTCGCACACGAACGAGTTCACCAGGGAGTGCCACTTGGACAGCACAGAGACGAAAGTTACCTCGAAACTGAACGACCGCGAGAAGAAACAAGCCGCATTGCCCATCGCTGTCTTCGGGATGGACATGGTAACGAAACTTATCGTGGCCGCTTGCGAATCTTCAGGTGTACAGGCGATATAACGAGTGTTCACGCGCAGGTGGAGAAGTTCTACTCGAAACAATTCACGGACAAGGAGGAGGGGCTGATGCAGTTGAAGGAAGAGCTGAAGACGTTCGACCCGGAAGTATCGAAACACTCGCCGAATAAAACAGCCAGGGCGGCGATCCTGCTGCTGCACCGGGCTCTCAGGGACAAAGTCTTCAGCGTGTACAGCCTGGCGGCGCAGCTCATCAGGATCTTCTTCGCAGAATTCGCGGCGGACAGGTGAGAAGCTGGGATCTGCAATGGCTGGTCTTCGGCATTTTGCTCTAAGCGCTAATTCGTAACGTCATTTCCAGCAAGAAGTGTTTCCAGCGCCGTCGGACGTCGCAGTTCCTAGGATTTTATTATGTTACTGCGACCGTCGTTTACATACAACGTTGATATTAAGATCATTTCATAGAAAGTTTCTTTCATCTAATACAAACGATCGATATAAACTAACACTATGTCTCGATAACTGAGTTTAATTGACCTACCGTGTCTGAACTTTTTTCCTTAAAATGACTTCTAGACACATTCTGCGGCTACTGCTGCTTCATTGAACTACCAAAAATCACCTTAGCGTTTAACGTCCATTCGGGAAACCTGATCGAGAACTTCGTCGGCGATTCGTTTCAGAGTATCCTCGACGGAGATTGCTAGGAGCGTCGAGCGGTTGCTGCCGGAGCTCCTGACGAAGTCCGGCGACACCACACCGAGGATACACAACATGGCGGTGCACACGATTCTCAGCATGGCCGATTGCAAGTGCGTCCGCGAGCTGCACATAATACCGGTTCACCTGACCAGGCCGGTGAACAGTAGCACGCATCAGAGGCTGGCGCTGAGCAGGCTGGAGATGGTGGAGCAGCTGATTCTGAGCCACGGCATCTCCACCGAGAAGCAAAGGTGATTCTGAAACGATATCCTCAGGGCACTCGAGTCCGCGCGCTACAAGGACTACCGGACGAATTTTGAGGAATCGCGGGCCTCTGCCGTCGTAGCGCAGTCCTTCCGACTTATCGGTCCAACTGCGGCCGATTCGCAGAGGTCCCTCCTCAAGATCGAGCCTGTATTATTAAAACGCAATTACTCTGATAAGGTATTGTAACTGTTGTAGCGGGCTGACCTGTCGGACCTTATCCGAATTAGGTTCTTCCGGGCTGCACCATCCGGCCGAGGCGGTGCGGAAGGTGTCCGAGAGGATTCTCGTGTTGGTGTATAAAGTCAATCCCAGGCTGGTGCGAAAGCAATTGCCGCCTGACGACGACATTACCCGACGGAATCTCTTGTACCGTCAGCTCTTCCACGAGTTCGATCTGATCGACTTGCAGGTATGATATCAGGGGGGGAGGGGGGGGAGGTACCTGAGATCGAGGAAAGCCGAGCCGAATTGCGAGACGCGTTTGCGGATTGATTGCAGAGGAAGAAGGAGGCCGAGTCCGCCCAAAAAGCAACGACAACGCCAACGCGAACTAAATCAACGGAAAACAACGTAACTAGTTTAACGAAATCGCCGTCGAGATCGAGCCCGGTGGTGAGCACCGGGAGTTCAACGAGCATCACCTCTCCGTCCGAGAACAGCGCTGATCATAAGGGGGATAAGTAAGTATGCATACAGGATCTTGAGATCGCAGCCAATCGCGAAGGACGTAACATTTTCATGACGCCTGTGTCCCGTTTCTTAGAATGTGCATATTTTGCCTGTCGAAGGGTCAAGTGTACTCTGAAGAAGGCTTGAACATACATTACTGGAGGACTTGTCCTATGTTGACAAAGTGCGAAGCGTGCAAACAAGTCGTAGAGATATCCTATCTGAATCTACATTTGTTGAGTGAGTAACACGGGGAAAATTGTGAATCGCAAGAGAGAATCAGAGATAGATAGATCCGATGACTTTACTTTGCGCGCGGCTCGTGAAAATAGTGTATCTATTCGATTTGACTGGCCCTCCTCTTTGCAGACGAGTGCGATATGAGGAGTAATTACGTGAAGTGCGAGACGTGCAAGCAGGCGATGCACGAGAGCGCATTCGAGAGCCACAGACAGGACAAGAAGTGCACAAGTATGTGAACGTATTGCTTTACCACTGTGACGACCCGGTGAAATGTCCAAAATCGGAAGATAGGACATCTTTTCGACATCGTTAAGTTGTCTTTAAGATAACATAAGGTGTCCCGAAGTCATTTTTAAGACGTGAAAAAACATCTTACGTCTCGGTTTCGAACATTGCGCTGTCTGGGGATTTACGATACGATCGTTGCGCCGATTCGAGTCACGCGGCAAATATAAAAATCCTGATTCTTTTTTCAGAGCCTATAGAAGGATACGAACGCTGTCCCCTTTGTTCAGCTTTAGTCAATCAAAACAAGTGGAGGGAGCATCTTATGGGGGAACATCCGTGTATAAATAATCCACGGAGCAAAATTGGAAAGAGCTGTGAGTTTCAATGCAATACTTTAAGACTCCGGCTGTCCCTCTAGATTATTTCCTTAAGAATTTCTAAACGTTTAAATAAATTGAATTGATATTTTCTTGCTGTAATGTCCAAGTTATATATTATTATATAATTATAAACTATGTTTACAAACATTCAATACAGATCTGTCGAGCTTCTTCTATGTTGTATTAACCATTATCTTTCTATCAGCATTGCCACGAACAAATTACTTTAAGCTTGAGACAGAGAAAGTTACCTTGATTTTCGATAATAGAGACAAAACAGCTCTCTATAGAGAAAAAGTTGCCCGAGGATATGAGACATTTATTCCTTCTCTCGTCGAATTTGGTAAAAGAACGGCACTTTTACCTTCGACCTTTTACCGTTAAAATTCCAGGCTCGAAGTCGCCGTCTAACTCGCAGAATCTCAGCGGCAAGTTAACGTCGCCGACGAGCAGGGATTACTAGCATCAGGCATCGACCTCGAAGCCAACGGAGGAATTCGACAAGTCTTAGGGGAATTTTGATTTTGATTTCTTTTATGGGTATATACGTTAGGTATATACGTTATGAGCTTACTCAGCGTTTTTCATATTTGTACCTATATTTAAATAGTTTTTATAGCAGAACCCGTCCTTTATTCGTAGAAATCCACGTTGAACGGATATATATATATATGTATACATATATATATACGATATGTATACATATATATATACGATATGTATACATATATATATATATATATATATATAGTCGTAAGTTAGGAATCCTAACGTTTGAAAATTTAGATATGATATGTTACACGAAGCGAGTTCGCGAAAATCGTACGAGGAGGTGCGCCTTGGCAGGTAGCCGAAGCCACCAAAATATTAGAGGTTGTTAACAGGTTCCACTCATACATTCTATCGTTATCGTATCCAGGGCATTTGCGAGGGTTGCATCAATTATTAGGTAGTATTATCGGATGTTACAACATCAGTCATCTCAGAATTAATACGATTCCTCTGCATCCGGCCACATTTATAATAAAAATTTGTACTATACGACTACATATGGCAAGATGCATTAAAATAGACGTTAGACCCAAAAGTGGGAAGCTCCTGATCGCTCAAACAATTAAATAGCGCATGTAATTTCGTAAAATAGTTATTTCATAGAAAAACGGACAGTAAAAATAATCCATCATCATTCCCATTGTCAAATTGTTTTTATCCTATAAAATCATTTATTTTTATTCAGCTCGTTCGTAACAAGATACTCAGCGCGAGTTATCATATCATCATGACACTCGGTCATTATTAAAACGAAGGGAAAAAAAACATTCCCGCTTGGATAAAAAATATAATTTAAGTATTCCACTTAACTATATGTAGAGTCTGCACAACGAAGAGACATTAGGAGACATGTTAAAAATCATAATTACACCGCACTGAGTCACTCACTCGTCTCGACCTTCGTCGTCGTCTCTGCGTCATCGACCTTCTTCTCCGTGCAATCGCCGTTCTCCATCGCCGCTTTCTCACCGATTGCATCTTCAGTTTCATCCTCACCGTTGTTGACATCCTCGTTCGACACGGCCGCGCGACTTTCTTCGAATTTATTTTTCTCTGTAGAATTGAGACGTAAATAATCGTATTCTTCCACATCGCAATGTATACAATGTACCATATTACGTTCGACGTACCGAATTTAGAGCAATCCCCTCCTAAAAGTCGTAAATAGTGAACCGCGTCACACATAGGCACGTATGCTTTAAGGGACATCGTTCCTCTCCACCCTACTATTTTGAGATCTAGCGGGTTCAGATTGTCAGTTTTCTCTTCTTTATATAACAATATACAACTTCCGGTCGCTTAAATTAAATATATATTTTATATTCGAGCAACATTCGCGTATATAATGTAAGAGTAAGTGGAAGAAGAAAGAAAACGTTATTGCTGTACCTACCGAAATCTCTGAGACGTTCCTGAGTGTCTGAACTCAATTTTACAATTTCAGGTGGTGCGTGTGGATCGTTGTTTTGTAAAAGCATGATTAAATCTCCTTTCGAAATGTGAAGCTTTCTCTCGTCACTTATGTAATGAGCGATACTCTGCACCCCTTCCTGAGCAAGTCGGAACTTCATATTTTTATTGTCGCATCGCACGAACGTTTTAACGCCCGTGTTGATCAGTTTGACCTTGTTCTCGTTACATATCACCAGATCGCGGATCGCCGGCGACGTGAAATAAATATTTTTCTTCTTTCCCTCGTGACTTCTCACCAGCAGACGTTGCGGATCCAGGTTATTGGATATACCGTAAAAATCTCTAGGGAAGCATATCGAACAATATGAAAAAGCATTACGAAAAAGAACAATTATATCATGCACTGGTACTGCTAACAATAATATCTGAAAACGAACGGACTTATTGAAAATCCAACGATGCGCATAAATCGGATGTAGAATCATCGCCACCCCTGATTGGTTGGTTAAGCGGTTAAGTGAGCGTTTCTTAGACCAGTGCGTTATCGTACAATAAAGAGACCGGAACTTACTTAATAGACTTCCATGCATCCTCAGATTCATCCTTAAAGAAGACAAACGGGTCTTCCCTATAACCGACAATCCTCCTTCGTTTCCTTTGCAGTTTCATTTCTTCATCCAACGGCCTTTTCCCTCTTTCCAGAAGTTTCATATCTCGTACGGCCTCTTCTTCGAGGCTCAGCTCATCCTTATTTTCACTACCAGCTACGTTCTGTACATTCTGACTTAATGTACACGCTTCGCCTTCCCACGGCAGGGGTTTTACTTTTTCCAGTACGGCCACAAAGAAGCCTCCGGTATCTTGATGGTGTGGTAGTATTCTCATACTGTGTAATTAAGAAAGCGTAAATACAGAGCTTGTGCAAAAATTCTGCATCTTTGTTAGCTAATTCACACGGTATTTACCAACGTTCAAGATGAAACTTGGAGGCCTCGTCCGCCGGCGGCGGAAACATCTTCGGTCGTATTTGCGTCTGCCACTGTTCCGGAACTTCCTCCCAGGCATTATAGTATTGCAAATTTTTAGACGCTGGTTTCCAGTGCGTGACACCTGATTGTAAAATACACGACCCATGTACAATGTAAAATGTTTTCAAAAATTCGCAAGATATCTTTACACTGGAATGTTCTTTCTTTTTGTATTTTCTCACAAATATATCTAAGAGTATTTTGTACATACTACTTTTGTTAAAACTAACCAGGGTCACACACTAATCCCGGCACTAAATCTCTACAGTCCACTAACTGCACTGAATCTCCAGTTTCAAGAAGGATCCTATGAAGCACCGCTTCATTTTCAATGGGATTTAACGAACAAGTCGAATACACCATCCTTCCACCAACTGTTAGCATTTCTAAGCCACGCTTCGCTATCCTGTATTGAATTCTTCAGAAAAATCAAAATTAATATTCCGCACAATTGTAGAACATGTCAATTTGTCATTATATTCACCCATGAAGATTACTTCCATTAGCGGGACTCCATTTGCACCATATATCCGGATTCTTTCGCATCGTACCATCACCACTACACGGAACATCTGCGAGTATCCTGTCAAACCTGTAAAAAGAATAAAACTGTGTGGGGAAAACGTCTGATAGATAACTAATTACGCAGAAGTTATCAGGCTGGTATCAGATTTGCATTACATACTTTAATACACCTTTTGTACCATCTGGTTTTGTAATCGTGAAATTAGGCATGATAGATGAATCATGATTTGTAATGAGGATGTTCGGGCTGTTTAATCTTTTAGCTTGATGCACCAGCTTATAACAACGGTTATTGTCAAGATCATTGGCTATCACAAAACCCTCTGTAATAAAAGTTGAATACTAAGATTTGTACAATCATTAGAGTGATTGAACATTAATCACCTGGGAGAACATCTCCCTCGTCTGCGTGTATCATCTCTATAAGCTGAGCTGTTTTTGATCCAGGTGCGGCGCACATGTCAAGGACCTATAAAGGCAGTTTATGCATCTTATTCATATTATAATTTACTGTTTGGTAAGATAAGAAATAAAACTGCGTGAAGACAACGTTGAAAAAGTTTTAAATAAATACCTTGTGTGAAGGCTTAACATCCAGAACCAGAGGAGGAACCATACTAACTACTTCCTGTCTGCTGATGTTGCCGCTGTTAGTTTCGGTAATAAGAAAATTATGTAGCCTGAAATAAGCTTCAGATCGTCTGATATCTTTTCTCGTCAGTTGCAACTGCCAAGCTAGTTCTTCCGGATAAAATGGTAAACTATGTAGTATAGTTTTCACCTCACTGCTGGAATTTTCATTGTCACTTTCCAGATTTGCGTTCAAAATTTCCTTAAAAAAATCACTTTTGATTATTTCCAATAAAGCCGTAGCTTCTACTTTAGAGCCGGTGATTCTAAAAGCAACTGGCAGATTGGTCCTCATTGTGTCGATAAATGCGTCCCATTTATCTTCTGGAATTATTCCTTGAGTCTTGTAGTAATTCTCAAAGTCTTTATTCTCTCTGATAATGTCCGGATAGCTCCTCTGGGGAGCTTTGTCTAATTCATCTTTTTTCTACAATTATTAATTATGTATCTCAATATTACTTCTTTTAAATTTATACTACCGTTTCAGATTAAGTAAAATATTAAGCAGAGTGACAGAAATTAAAATCGTCTTGCCTAAAAAGTACATTAACACGATACAAAATAGTCAATTACAAGAATGATAAACATAACCTCTCAAAGCTTATTGAAATATGATATTGGAAATAATCGAACCTTTTGTTTCTCACGACGCTTTTCAGCAAAATTCTTTTGTGGCTTATTCTTTCGTCCTTTACCCATTTTTCACTCGCAACGTGCAGTTCTTACTAATTAACAATAACAATCGTGTGTAGCATAAATAACACGTGTCTGCAATAATTTCTCTTCCTTATTCTCTCTCTCTCTCTCAATATTCGTTCCAGGAATCCATTAAGAGGATCCCCAATACCACTCAACGAATAGGTTACATAAAAGAACAGGTTAGGGGAAATCCAAATGTATACGAAGAATTGAAGTGATTGGTTGGTGCCTTTCAAGAATTGGAGTATAAACTTGAACGGTTTGGAGTTGCATTGGAAAACGGCTGTTGTGACATCATTTAATCCAGTTGTATTTTTTTGATACAGTTGACAAGTAAGGGAGATAAACACCTTGACAAAAAGTCAGGAAGCAGAAAAGCAGCAACCAATCAGAACTCGCGCAGATAGTAAGCAGTGGATAAAGCAAAAACTGCTTCGACAGGTAACAGCTTTATGGCGACCATGGCTTCTTAGCCATCGCTCTTAAACGTCTCTCTGCCGTTAGTCAATTTTTGATTGGCTCTGACCCATATGGATCTTTAAGGCCTTTGCACGTAAAACATTTTTAATCGTAACCGTAAATCCATAAAAAACTGATCAATCACAGTCGATTATTCTTCGATTACAAGGAGAATAATTAACTGGAATTTTCTTGCGGGTTTACGGTTACGACTAAAAATTTCTCACGTGCAAAGTTATCATATTTTTATTTTTATTCCTATTTCAAAAAATTATTAATTTCTCACATTCAAGCAGGTGTGCGTATGTATAGTAAATTTTTATTAAAACAAATATACATATTATTCCATAAGAATTCTCCTGTTTCGACACATCGTTAACGAATCATCTATGTAATGTAAATTTTTATTAAAACAAATATACATATTATTCTGAGAATTCCTATATATTTTCGATACATCGTTAACAAGTCATCTAATGTAGGCAATTTGATACAGTTTGAACATCCATTTTACGGGCTATGAAATGTATAATCTCAGAATTATTGAGTTGCGACAACAACCATGAATAATTGATCCTCGATTAGCGATTTTATTTCGTCCTCCTTCGTAAGCTGTTTACAATAAAGATCGAGAATGAAAGTTAAATTAATCGGGATCAACGCTAATCGTTGTTGGCGCAACCGGCCTAGCTTTTTATATTCTAGAAATATGTATTATTTACAAAATTACAATGCCGATTCCGCGTTGTTAAAGGACAAGGTCTTGATAAGAAAGCCCATCAGATTCTGGCGACTCCATCCTGTTTCTTAAGTGTTCTAACGTGTTCGCTAAATGCTTTTGTATCTGATCAGTTTCCTCGCTCGCCTCCAAATTGGGAAGTTCCTCCCTAATTTTCGCAATTACTTGATTTAATATCTGTACAGTCACCTGAAAAAAAAAGAAAAAAATATAAAAAATAAAAAAATATAGAATATATATATATATATATATAAAATAAAAAAAAATAAAAAAAATATATATATATAATCACAAAGGGCAACTCAGAAACAATAAACTTATACGCTTCACTGTAATCGAGTCTTACGGCTGTGTTTCCTTTTTCATAGAAGTAAATGTAATGATTCAGCAACTCTACGTATAGTTGCACTTGCACCGACGTGTCCATACATTGGCTCGCTATCCTAATGCCCTTCTTCAAACAGTCTAATACTTTGCCGCCCTCTTGCATCTGAAATTGCACTTTTCACTGAAAATTTGTCTCCAGCGATCGAGACGATCGACTCGATGCATCTCTATTTACCTCCTTTCCATTCGTAGCTAGAGATTTCCCGGACCAAAATATGTGGGAGCAGGTTGCGACTCCTCTACACTGATCGGGCTTTCTCAGCAACTTACTGGCATACAGAGCGCACTGATTGCGAACGGGCTCTGCATTCTCCTCGCCAAAGCAACTCATTTGTTCGAATGTGGCAATGATCAGGGTAATCGCTGCGAGCTGAGCTTTCGAGTCGCTTATCTCGTCTTCGTATATCGAGAACGCTTGGCTCATGAATTCGTACGCCACCATCTCAAAATTATCGAAACGGATCTCGCCAATCGCTATTGCGCCTTGCAGAAAGAGCCTCAGAGGTAATTCAGCCAATTCGGCCTTCATCAGAGCTGTGATAGTGGTGTGACAGAATTGAAAGATTTTCTGACACTTCTTTTGCCACATCTCATCCTGAAGAGAGAGAGAGAGAGAGAGAGAGAGAGAGAGAAACAGAAATTATCAATTTCTATTGTTACACGTGCTATTCGATAATTTGGTTGTACTCGCATCAAAATGACAAACCTGGTCTTTCAATGCCTTGTAGGTGAAGGACAATTGATAACTCTGGAAAACTATAGGCGGCAGAGTGTACTTTATTCTCTTGTTACCGCCGGTACTGAAGTGCTTCCTTGCGGCACTCAGTATCATGTACTGCTGATCCGCCGTCTCTGACTTAAAATGATGTATTAATCTGCCGAGCAGCCCCTGCTCTTCGGCGAAATCTTCGGGATCCTCCTCTATGTTAGGCTGATCCGGCTGATCTTGCACCAAAGGCGATACCATGGACAGTACAGCGTCCACTTGCTCCTGAGTCGGTATTAACGTTTCGTTCTCTAAGATATTTGTTATTATGTAGATGGCCAGCAGTTTTCTACCCTCGTAATCGAAGTAATCCAGGAGGGGTGCATAGTGTTCAAGCTTCAGCACGGTTAATATGTTCTTATAGTTGTCTACAGGGATTTTCATTAATCTCACCAGCTCTCTCGAGACGGCGCTATTATACTCCAGTCTAGGAAAAAAAAAATTATATATATATAGATTCTCGTGTATATACAGTACAAACGATTTAACGTGCAATGGTGAACTCACTTGTCGATATTTTGTTTCTGGAATATCTGAACGGTGGTGAATAAAACTTTATCCACATAATCCACGCGATCAGGATAGCATTTATGCGCTAAGTTTATAAGAGCTACTTGAAGTGACACAATATCTTCAGGAGGCATATCTTGCCTTGTCTGTGAAAAAAAAAACGTCTTTTTTTCTTTTCATACGTTTGATAAAGTGAACTATAATTAAAATAAAACACCGTAACCATTCTCAGACTTAAACTAAACAGCAAGGAATTGTTTTAGCTTCTAAATCATGAAATAACTGTCAAAAAAAGTGCAGTATCCAATCGTCATTGAACGGTTGTTTAACAAAAAAAAAAAAATAAATAAATCGTGAAGTCTACTCTGTTCCGTAAATACCTGTATAATAGTAGCGATTTGATCACTGAATACATCGAAAAGTTTAACGTCTTGTGGAATTCCTGGTACTTGATTAGGGCTCCCCGGCCCTCCTACACCGTCCGACCGTTGACTAAAGGCTGCAAGCCGATCAATCAACGATATGATTATGTTCTTAACGTTTACTCCGGTTTGCAATTCTGCACAGGACTTCAGGAATGCATTTAACGTCTGTAAATGGAATTCGTCGGGAAACACCTGCAGTTACAAATGATAAGTAAGCGTTAGCTGTTTGATCTTCATATTTCTTAATCAATAAATAAAATTGCAAACTGCCTGTGAAAGCGCTCTGCACAGAGTGCAAATATATAGATTACAACATTTAAGGCAATATTGATCATTTATTTATCTCGCACTTTTGCGACGTGCTCTCGTAAGCTTTTGTAATCTTTATTACTGATTGAATCCAAAAGCCCATTTATCATGTTCTTTTAGATAAACCGGCATATTGTACGATATGTAGAAAATGCACCTGAATTATACACTCCATGAGGTATTCCTGCGCTATTGCGTCTCTACAACTAACCACTTGCTCCAGGATGCCTGGTAGTACAAGCTGAAAGGAAGTTTACAGTGACACATAGGTAAACCTGGTTGGGAAACAAATAGATATCACAGAACGTACCTTCTTATATTTATCTAACGTCACAGACTCCAACTGACTAAGTCGTACAAGATTGGTTCCCACAAGAATTCTGAGCTCCTCTCTCTCCCTCTCTCTCCTCTCCCTGTCCCTACTGTGACCCTGATGTTGCATGCGTACCCACAACTTATTCATTTCTGCAAAATTCATGAGAACAAAATCTATGCTGTCACGGACCTGAAAATAACGAAGTTTCAGGAGTAATATTATATGTACAAGGAGAATTTTGGCTATTTATGAAATACATACAGTCCCATCCTCATCATCGCTCTCGGCAACGTCCGGCAGAATGTTTCTTGTGCATTGCAGCAGATAATTTCGCAAGAACAGACCTCGCAGAGGATGTTGCACACCCCTGCACATTTCCACGAGATCTCTCAAAAGATCCCTCTTCAAGCCTGGAGTCGTCTTGATGTAAACCAGACCAACAGTGATGAGTAAGTAGCTGTAATTTCAGATCAGATTATCTAGCTTCTGAATTCAACAAGAATCAGAATAACGTAGAGCTATGAAACATATATACGTACAGCCTAGGTACAATATTGCCAACATATTGTACTAACTCATAGAGGTCCGTAACTTTCCTTCCTTTCTGGAATTCATCCAACAGATAAAGCTCCAAATGCCGTAATTCATCGGTGATCGCCATATCTGACATAATGATTGTTATAAGGAACATTTATCAAGCTTATAAAACCAGAAGAATCATATCGGATATCGTTCATAGATAGTCTCTGATCATCAATTTAATGAAGGATACACAATTCGTAGTAGCTTTTTGGACTCAGAAGCGAAGTCCTAAGTTCTCCCAGCATGGTGGAGGCGTGTTTGAGGGCGTCCATCAGTTTGGACTTATCGAGGCAATGTTTCATCTGAAAAGCTTGGACCTTCACTACACCGATCGCGTCTTCCAGTAGTTTCTCTTGATCTTCCATCCCCGTCATGGCAGGTGTCATTGGCTGCGAGAAAAATAAAGATACCTACCAGGAACACCAGGTAGTACCATGCTAGGTAAGCCATCCAACTCAAGCATGCACCGAGGATGCTTAACCGCCGGGTGGGTGGAGGGAGGGAGGGGGATGGAGGATACATTATCGAAACAAGCACAACTAATCTACTTAGAAATCGAATTAATGATGGGTGTGTGATGGGAAAGCGAGATGTAACATCGAACGACGTAACCACAGATGCAACTATCAGACGTAGAACTTACAATTTATATAAACGCTAATTAGATCGCGCACAAAAACAAGAAATTAAGCATTCCATTTCCAGCCATCGCCTTCTGAAAATCACGACGAAACAATTTCTCAAAACTTCCAGCGATAGGGAGATAACCTTTACGGCGGCAGATTAATTTGCGATTGATTAACACCGTACAAATTGAAACTCGAGGAAATACACTTATCCTCGTAAGCGGAATTGCACAACATGCCTCCCATAACTCCGACGATATTTACCATTTTCTTGAAAAAAAATACACAATTGCTCGTCGCGTTGTGGATATCTTCCTTGACAAGAAACTAGATACGCTCGACTCCGTTAGAGTTCCGACAGACCCGATAGATAATCACTTCGACCCGCCAACTCGTGTATCCCTGTATTGTGTCCTATCGTTATTTGTCGTTGTTTCCGATAATCACACGGAACGCGATTTGAAATTTCACGAATTTTCGTAAACGAATCTAAATAGAATTTAAATATATATGGTTCAACAAATAAATCCGATTGATCCGAGACAATATCGATTTTTTTCTACCATATTTCAGATAATTATTTTAATTAATTGACAATATGTAAAGACCGTATAAATAAAACAATAAGAATTTAATACTATTTTTGTTATTAATAAAAAAAGTCATATTTAATTAATTTCAGATATTGAAAAAAAGATATATTAACAATTATAAGGATCTTATAATTGTTTTATGTGAACTTTACATTTTATAAATGGGAAAAAGGAGAGGTAAAAAGAAGCTGTTTCGTACTGCAAATAGTATGATGTAAAGAATGAGTATACACAACTACAAAAACTTTTGTTACATACAAATAAATTTATTGCAACCCAACGTATGCAGTGCTATGTCGGATTATCCAACGAGTGTGGATTTGTAGGAGTCTGTTCCTAGTGAATAAATAACCTTTCTATGAATCAATGCCAACAACAGCAGGGCGATTGTAAAGTGTGAAATATTATTCAACCTTCAGTGTTCTCATATATGCATCCAGTTCATCTTCAGATTCGCTTTGATCATTGCTTTCATTATGTGAGAGCAAAGTTTCAGGAGACTCGGAATCAAAGTACTTTTCTTCCTCATCCTGATTTCTCAATTCTATGTTATCATAAGTCTCATTGTCATCCACAGTGCTGTAAATAAATAATGGAAATATACAATAATACAGTCGCAATATTTAAATCTTTGATAAAAAAAAAGTTCTCACTATCCATATAGTTATAAGCGGAATTTGCAGAATAAAATGTGTGTACACAAATTCTTGAATACTTATACTTAATCTTAAAGAACCATTTATATTAATACATTCTGAAATGCTTCTTTTTATGAAGCTTTCATATATTAACTTATAAGTATTAACAACAATAGAGTTATACCTGTAGTCAAAATCTCTATCTTTACCATCCAGGAAACTTTGATACATGTTTGTGAGAAATTCTTGTCTAAGCAATTGTATTTCTTCATTCGATATCTTGTGTCGCATTTTACTATTCAGCAATGTTTTATCTTTGTTCTTATCACTGTTATCTGTCGTCTCATTTAAATATCTACCCCATTGAAAACGAGTCTGTTCGTTAGAATTGCTTGTCTTGGATGTGACACTGTCTTTTCCATCGTCGTCATGACTGTCATCACCATCATCATCATCATTATCATCATCATCAGAATCATTTTCTTCTCGCACACTGTCCTCTTCCTTTTGCTGCGACTTAAGATGTTTTTGCAGTTTGTCTCTCTCCATAGTCTCCATAAGTACATCCACATAATTCATATTACGCGTGTCGATACTGTCCCTGGCTTTCTTCTCCTTTTCTGTCAAGTACTGTCCCACCAGATGTTCATACAACAACGGATTCCTCTTCATCATTTCACACTCGCTGAAGTACTCGCCCTTCTCTATCAGCCTCTTCAAAGCTTCGTACCTTCTATTCCTGACGTCGACATGCCGTGTCAAATTATTGAAATATCTTCGCAACCTATTCACGTGATAGGCCGTCTCGTAATCTTCCTTTCTGCTAAAATACTTTAAATGCTCCTCCCTCAAGTAATGCCCAAACTTGGACAAAAATGAGCAGCAGTTCTTCTCCAACAGTTCCTTAGCTATGGCACGTTTCTCCTCGAACGTCAACTCGGGTTCTCCCTTCTGTTGGCTCTTGAAAATTGCCGTGCTGTTAGATACGTAATCTAGCATTTCTTCCTCGAGATCATCACGTGTTGCACTTGACAGGATACTTGGTTTATCGTTACTATCCTCGCTCTCATCACGGGGAACACCTGTCTTGCCTTCCTCCAACATTGCATTCTTTTTCGGAATTCCGCTCTCGTTCATTACTGGCAATTGAAGAATTGAAGAAATTGAACGAACCACGATTTACGCACTACGCTCGCATGCGACAGTTGCGTATACCTCGTTTTCTTTGCCCGAGGAATTAATCTCGTGAAAGGTACGGAGGATTGTATCCTTTCGCGTTATATTATTCCGTTCTTTTTTACGCTTTCACTTTAATCTGTTGTTGTTGCTCGCGCTTGTGATCATGACGAATCACGAAGTCAGATAAACATCTGACTCGGCATCCGCACGATGCACGAACAAAAGATGCATCGTCGGACAATCAATCGCCAAACATGCGTCACTATGCGTCACTGTCATAGGAAACTTAACCTGTAAGTGTCACCGATATGAGAGCGCAGCAGCAAAATGTAATGCGAATGAAAAGTCGCACTAAATAGTATAGTGTTTGTTAATAACGGGTGCTTCGATATTTATGGCAATTCCTCGGCCGAAAGGTACATTTTGGCAATACATCTAATTACGTTGTTTACTAATGATACATTAAGCCCCCCTTATCTGGCAGTAATTGATGATTATCAGTCAGTTTAATCGGCTATAGCGTTGTGTTGCAATTGCTAAATTTCCTTAGCATGATATTATTGTAATGTGTACTTAATTCCCCGGTCGATTAATGAAACACTATCACTCAGCATGTTTGTATGTATATATTGTGTAAAAATTTGACAACCGCGATAACAATGTGTCTGAGCAAAACAACAACTTAAATGTTATTATTTGGAATGCTCTTAGTTTTATTGGATTATTTTACTCGACGAAAGTTCTTCCTTATGAAAATTTGCACTTATATAACTATATCGTAGTTTTATATTTATATATTACTTGTGCATTATTTATATATATTCAACATAGGCGGCCTCCACGATATTTGTTTAACCTATTGAAAGTGAAGGAAAGTTCTCGATTATGAATCCGTTGTAATTACAATATTGCAGCATGGCAGAGAATTGGTTCTATGATGCGGAAGGGTGGAAGTGGAACTGGACAGAATTCTGCGGACACGGTGGAAGTATTAAGCCTTTGAATCCGGAGACGCATGACCTGGACGTTTGCTTCCAACAGCTTTGTCTTCAGGTACAGCACGATCAACTTTATATCGAGCCTGGAACTTAACTGTCCGCATAATTATTCTTCCTTATTTCTTCACAATTCTTTCAGATACCGGTGTTAGTTCTCATAGCTGTAATCTCTGCATATCACTGCGGAAAGAGACACGCAGTCATAACGCGACAACAGCACGTCAACTACGCTATAAACATAAGAATTCTAATCACAATATGCCTAGTGATATTGCCTATTATAAGGGCATATATTATTTTAACGAACACCACCATCCCTTCGATACGCAATGAGGTGGGAGACCACAACACGTTAGAACCGCAAAGGTCGGCTATTCCCTCTTCCGAGAGTATAAATATCACTTTGAACGGGACAGATATCGTAAGGATAGGCGACGAATTCGATCACGTCGCTGGGCTGGCCGAATCACTTTTCTCACGAGACAACAGTGTGAAGAACATTGCTGCGGTCACTGTCACACCGTACATCGGTGATTATGAGGGAAAATTATCGAAAATTAAGGATCAATTCACTTCCGCTAAACCGGTGGATTATCTCGTCGCGGGCACCGAAGGTTTAGCATGGGTAGTGCATCTCTGTTTCATACTGAGCTTGAAACGTGGAAGACGCGGCCCCAATCCACGAGGTCCGATATTAGTACGAGCACTGATACTTCTTTTGATAGTTATTTCGGTGCTGCTGCTACGCAGCCACGTCAATAATAAGCCGAAAGACGATGTTTTGCCGAATTTATCACTGGGATTCAGTATCAGCGTGGTGACTCTTCTGATATTGTATACCATAACACTGATACCGGGTCCTGGTAGGCCGGAGCACTCGAGAGCATCTTCCCGAAATATCACAGTGAGTTTCTGCCGATCGCTATCGTTAAGCTGTCCAACTTGCCAATCTGTTCTTAGTATCATGGTTATTTTATTATTATGATTACCTGGCAATATTCAGATTGTGAGTAACATCCGGGGAGATTCCGATAACTTCGGCGATGCAAAATAAGAATGGTAGATGTTTCAAACGTGAATGAGAACGATAACATGAAAGGCAAAAACCGCGTCATTATTGTTGATTTTCAAGATTTTCGTTTGAAAAATAAAGCAATGTAACGAGAGGTTTATTATACAGCGTATACTCACAGCTGGCAACGATATTTCTATTTTTATTCGTATACAAAAACATGTTTTCACTCGCGATTCGCAATATGTACCGCTGCCTTGCGTATTGAGAGTCTTGCTAAATTTGTTCGATATTGATTATATTTAATATATCATCGATTCATCAATTTAGTAGGGTAAATATTTAATGGGGATCTTCATCTATTAGTTACGTGAAGAAGAAATCTTAGACAAGTTTCCTTGTTCAATCTTCATCGTAGATAAATTCATTTGTAACATTTGCGAAAAAGATATGTATTGTTTGATGGTTTAGCTTACTATTTTACTTAGAAAAGTTTGTAATTGAACTAAAGCCGCCAATTATCAAGTAAGATATCGCCGATCAGCGAAGCACTGTTTGTAGGTAGGAGAACGCACCGCACTATTGAATACTCCCACCTCCTCGTACGTACAATTCCCGGAGGAACAGGATCCAAGCTATCTTGGGATTGCTATGGAAGACACAACCATCACCTCGAAACTCCTGTTCCATTGGGTAACTCCGTTAATGGAGAAAGGCGTCAAAGGATTATTGTGTCATTCGGAGGACTTGTTTGATTTACCCGACCAGATCAGTACCAACACAATCAGTCATAAAATTGACAAATACTTGCATAACATGGTAAACAAAAAGACATGTGATAATCTATTTTTCACTACCAGCGATATCATACGATATTTTCATAGAATCTTTGGTGGTTATACGTAATAATCAAATTAATTTTCACAGTAATACTGATGAGATTACGTGTTGCAGCCGAAACCTGTAAGCAACGGGATCGAAAATAACTCGGAAATAGCACTTTGTCCAAACGTGAAAGTAATTACGAAGAAAGTGACGTTGTTCTATTTGCTGCACCAATGCTTCGGCTGGGAATTCTACGCGGTTGGAATACTGAAGTTTATCGCGGATGTTAGCTCGTTCATGGGCCCGATGTTGTTGAACAAATTGATAGGTTTTATCGAAGATAAAAACGAGTCAACATCGTACGGATATTTATACGCATCTCTTATAATAATCAGCGCTATAATTGGTAGAAAATAAAAAAACACTTAGATATCTCTGATATTTCCTGCGTAAATTATAATTATAATGTTAACGTTTCTGCGCAGGTGCTTTCTGCAATACTCACTTTACGTTTTGGATGTCGGTTGTGGGCCTGAAGATTCGCTCTGCGATTATCACTTTGGTGTACCGGAAAACACTGCATTCCTCTAATATCGATTTGAATCAGAATTTCAACTTCGGCGAGATCATCAATTTCATGAGCACCGACAGCGACAGACTGGTTAATAGCTGTCCTAGCTTCCACACATTTTGGAGCATACCTTTACAGGTGATTACATGACGGCAATATAAATTCTCTTGTACACGAAAAAAATATATTTTTGTGCTTTCCTTGCTTCTCGAAGAAAGAAGTAACGCAAAGATATTTATATTTGCAGTTATTCGTGACGCTTTATCTTCTGCATCAACAAATCGGTGCTTCCTTCTTAGCTGGCGTCGCATTTTCAATAGTGCTCATACCAATTAACAAAATCATAGCTAACAAAATTGGCAAGCTCAGCGCCAAATTGATGGGATACAAGGATCAGCGGGTGAGACTGATGGGAGAGATATTGCGCGGGATAACTACAATCAAGGTTAACGTATGGGAGGAGCACTTTCTACGAAATATTTTCAGTTAGTATATCTTACCGATAAATTATTTCAATCGAATGTTTTCTTCATCTAGCATTCTCTCATCCTGATACTTTTTGTTCGTCTAGAGCTTCGTGAGAGCGAAGTGAAGTATTTACGGGGTAGAAAATATCTGGACGCTCTTTGTGTCTACTTCTGGGCGACCACACCTATTGTCGTCGCGATATTAACATTCGCGACGTACGTCCTGCTTGGAAACGAACTAGACACCAAGACTGTGTTCACCAGTATGGCGTTGTTGAACATGTTGATAGGACCTTTGAACGCGTTCCCGTGGGTACTGAATGGTCTTACGGAAGCGTGGGTATCTCTGAGAAGAATTCAACGGATGCTGGACGTACGTACAGCGAGACTACAATGCGCGATGCAAACTGCATAGCGTAGCGCAATTAGCATTTAAAGTACTCAATTTTTACTTATAATTTAGCTACCGGACATGGACGCGTTGTTGTACTATACAGACATTACCCCGGACGTAGATTTGTTGCTGCAGAATGTAACATTCGTTGTGAGTAATCCGAGGAGTAACGATATCGTTACGAACGCAAGTCCTGCAGCAACTCCATCCTCGAGCGCTGAGAATAAGAAAGGTGTTACTTTTGAAAGTGACGATGTCTTCGTGTTGCACAATATTAATATGTCCGTGCCGAAGGTAAGAAGAGGCAGATTTTCGTAACGTGTTTATTCTTCGCGCATAAAACGAATATTCCTCGGCACAGGGACAATTAATTGGTGTGATGGGCAAGGTTGGAAGCGGCAAAACTCTACTCCTGGAGGGCATTTTGGCGGAAATTGCAAAGACCACGGGGGTCATAGCAGTGAACGATGATCACAAGGGTTTTGGATACGTGAGGCAAAATCCTTGGCTACAACGTGGCACAATTCGAGACAACATTCTGTTCGGGAAACCGTACGATCATAATAAATATAAGTAGGTGTTTTTTGCAATTCATTTTTCGTAAGTTTACGTCAACGTTGTTGAGCTTTCCGCTATTTTATACCGTACATTAATCTCGACCCGACATTTCATCTGTAATTTTGACAGGAACATTTTGAAGGCTTGCGCTCTTATGTCCGACTTGAATTCACTGCCTGATAAGGACTTGACGACCGTTGGTGAAGCCGGGAATACGTTGAGCGGCGGCCAAAAAACGAGAATTTCTCTGGCTCGTGCGATATACGCCGATAAGGACATTTACTTGCTGGATGACGTATTAGCGACACTGGACGTCAAAGTTGCCCGACATGTTTTCCAGCATGTAATTCTGGGCCTGCTGCAAAATAAAACCAGGATACTGTGCACGCATCAGACGCAATATTTGATTCACGCGGATCTGGTGATCGAAATGTCGAAAGGGAAAATTATTAATCAAGGAAGGCCGAGCGACGTGTTGCCCGATCTGGAAGATTATCTCCTGTCGATGGAGTCCAATGGATCCGACTTGAACGTCCGATCTATGACAATACCACCCATCGAGTTCAATCTCGTCGAAAGGAACGAGCTGGATCCTTTACTTGACAAAGAGGCAGTCGAGAAAGGAACGGTGCACTTTTCGGTCTACGCGTGTTACATCAAAGCCGTCGGGCGATATCTGGCTATCTCGATATTGCTTTCTATGATTCTGATGCAAAGCTCGAAAAACATTACGGACCTGTGGTTGGCGTACTGGGTGACCCACACCAACGCAACGCAGACCAATTCGACCGACACGTCGACGCCGAAAATACCACATCTCTATTACGATGATTATAGTTCGCGCGATGCAAATTATTATCTAAAGGTTTACAGCCTGCTGGCTGTGGCTAATTCCGTCTTCACTCTGATCAGGGCTTTCATCTTCGCGTACGGTGGTTTACAGGCGGCCATTATGATGCACAAACATCTCCTGAGAACGGTCGTGCGGGTGAGTATGAACGTGGATTCGTGTAGCGTAATTGCTCGACGGAGGGACCTGTTGCGAAAAGTACTTTTGTTTCAGGCGAAGACGACATTTTTCGACATTCAGCCGCTCGGCAGGATCATAAATAGATTCTCATCCGACACGTACACTGTCGACGATTCGCTCCCTTTTATCACTAATATTTTGCTCGCGCATCTCTTCGGCTTGGTCGCTACTATCATCGTCACAGCTTATGGCTTACCGTGGATCTTCTTGGTATTGGCGCCTCTAGTGCCTGTTTATCACTGGATACAGAATCATTACAGGTGAATCTTCCTTGCAAATGCCGCGAGTGGAAATATGTAGATGATCGAATCGGCGATAATAGTAAAAAATCATGTTTCCAAATTTCGCCTTCCAGATTAACGTCGAGAGAGGTGAAAAGATTATCCAGCGTAACTTTGTCTCCTCTGTACGCCCATTTCAACGAGACCCTCAGCGGCCTGACGAGCATCAGGGCGTTTCGCACTGTACCTCGCTTCAAACAGGAGAACGAGCTGTTGCTAGAAGCTAGCCAGAAGACACAATTCGCTTCTATAGCCGCCAGTCAGTGGTTAGCACTGAGATTACAATTTATCGGGGTCACCCTATTAGCCGGGGTCAGCGTTATGGCGGTTTTGCAACATCAATACAACATTGCCGATCCCGGCTTGATCGGACTGGCGATTACCTACGCTTTGTCCGTAACCGGATTACTGTCCGGCGTGGTGAACTCTTTCACCGAGACTGAGAGAGAGATGATCGCGGTGGAACGAGTGAAACAGTATTTAGATAACGTGCCTACTGAGAACGCGACCGGCGATAATCCGCCGTACGCGTGGCCTAGTCAGGGTGTTGTTGAATTTAGAGACGTCGTTTTAAAATACAGGTAAGGTGGAGCTTCAAATTTCAAACCTCGAGGACTGTGCACCTTTGTGGCTTTTTTACGAAAATGTGATTCGTTTCGTGTGCACTTCACAGGGATCACTTAGTGCCATCGTTGAAGGAAGTAACGTTCGTGACACGACCGGCGGAGAAAATAGGCGTCGTTGGTCGCACCGGTGCTGGAAAGAGCTCGTTGTTAGCTTCGCTCTTTCGACTGACCGAAATTACCTCCGGCGGTGTATTAATTGACAACGTGAACATTCAGGCGTTGCAACTGAAAGCGTTAAGGTAATGTCTGTCGAACTTACGGAGGAACCTGCCCGATTAGATAATCGTGATAAACCGTTTTTCAGATCTCGCTTAGCTATTATACCTCAGAATCCGTTTCTCTTCTCGGGCACCATTCGAGAGAACGTGGATCCACTGGATCAATATACCGATCTGCATATATACAAAGCTCTGGAGAAGTGCAAAGTGCATTCTTTAGTTTATCGATTAGGCGGCTTGGGCGCGGTCTTAGATGAGGGCGGCGGTAATCTCAGCGCCGGCCAGAGACAGTTGTTTTGTTTGGTTCGAGCTGTACTGCATAACGCTAAGGTAAGCGCGTTCTTATCCGTATCATTCGAGCATCATTCGAGCGAGCGGTCGTTCCCGTGCGATCAACTTGATGTCTCTCCTTCGTCGTAGATTGTTTGCATCGACGAAGCCACTGCGAATGTAGACCAGGAGACGGATAAGTTTATTCAAGCGACAATAAAGTCTTCCTTCCAAAGTGCGACGGTTATCACTATCGCCCATAGAATAAGGACGATTATGCACTGTGATAGGTACGTCACCTTTCGAATTTGAACGGTTGTGTTACTTGGTGAAATTCAGGATGATGATTTGCACGACAATGCGAATCGGTTATAGATGATTATAGGCGGTTATGATTAGTCGTGGGCGATACAGACTTCGTTCGTTGTTCTGTCTTTTTCTTTCACTCAAAGAATTTGTTCCTGTTTAGAGTTCTAGTGATGGGAGATGGAGAGGTGCTGGAATTCGACGAGCCAAATTTATTGATTCAGAACGCCGATTCCTACTTCTATCACTTGGCCAGCCAGGAATTTTCGGATCAAGAGTGATCAGCGCATTACATGATTTCATTACTGATGAACACTTCGTGACGACGATGACGATTATATGTAGTATTATGTGACTGTACATAGTGCATCGTACATGAGACGATATTTCCCCAGAGGCGAATTATTTTCATACATTGAACGTGACAGGATTGCATTCTAGATTAAGAATATACTCAAAGTGTATCATTTATGAGAGCGAATATTGTTATTTGTGAAATATATATATCATGTGACATATTTTACCACGGGTAAAATATATCTTTGCCACACACAGTAGTCAAAATTGTGTGAGGCTTGAGGTTCCTATTTTCTTACCGCTGTCATCCTGACTAATGACTCGAAAAGCAAGAAAATACACACAGCGCCAAAATTCTCGCGTTGAAGTAAAAAGATATATGTATGAATTGATCAGATTTGTCAAATATTTCGATAATTTTCGTCTTGCATCTCAATGATCAATAAATAGCCACAAAATTAACGCGACGAAATCATAGTAGTTATAAGATTAGCCACATGTCGCGTTAATTTTACGCATCTTTCTTTATATTTTAATATATCTTGTACGAATTATTATTATGTATTTTCTCACTTCGTCAATCTAGATGGCCGCAGTAATGAATCAGGAGCCTCAACTAACGTTCATGGAGACGGTTCTGTGTAAGACGTCCATCTCTATTTTGTATACGAATAAACTTCTCTAAATGAAAATGAAACGTTTCCCTCGATTTATTTTACTTACTTTATTTAAGGAACTTATTCTAGTGAAACTAATTCCGAGTATCTTTCTACAGCAATAAATCTACGTCTGAAGTATTATCTGTACAATAGCGCGTTCATGTCTGATATCTAAATTGTAAATAAAAATAGAGTTTAGATACTAACTGTATGCTACACTTGGCACCATATTATATTTCGCATTTATGCTTCGATGGGTTTGCGCTTCTCGTACTCGTTGTCAATCATAGATGAAGCACTTTAAAGAAACGTCGACTCTTGATAATTCCGATGTTCAGCCGGAAGAACATGAAGGCGACTCTTGGTAAACAGGAATGAATATCATTCGGACTCGAAGAGTCTGTGGATCAACGCCGGTAGCTACATTACCGACTTATTTCGTCTCGACTGATTTGATATGAAAACGTAGGCGGATCCACAGTAAAATGTTGATATTAATTTTTCAAATTATCATCCCACACATACTCGGCGTGTATCACTAAGATGTCACATTTTAGTTATCTTCAAGACGTTACTGCAGACGTGTTTGAGACGTTTTTAACGCAGTTGTATCGTAAAGTCAGATTTTTAATGGCAATGTTAAACAGCCTCTACATAAATTTTTATTATTTAATGAAAAAACAAAGTATTTTTCTAGAATTGTATTTTACTATCTAAGTAATAAATGCTCGAGCGAAAATAAGACATTTATATATAATATTACAAACGTGAAAATATTATTTATTTCTTATTTTTGCTATTAATACTTTACTTATACACCAGTAAAACTAATAAAAGTTCATACATATATACATATTTAAATATTTATATACAGTTTTTTTATTATGTATGAACTTCTATTAGTACTACTGATAAATATATTTTGTCACTCAAAGCATATTGAATCGAATGTAATGAAAACTTAATTAATTCATTCTATTCGGTTATTTTTATTATATTTACAAGACTACCCATATTTGCACATTGCCTTGAAGATATCTTTCTGCAATAATCTTATAAATTTATTCGTAATATTACCGCAATTTTTGATTTCAAAAGTAAGGTATAATTTAATTTCACAGAAATATTTTTGTCATTCTACTTCTTTTATCTATTTTCCTATAATATCTCGAAGAAGGTATAATTATTACTGAAAAATATGACGTATATAAATAACCGGAGTTTTATTCGATGATAACATTTTTCTACATCAATGTTTTACAGTAAATTTAGTCGAAAGATTAATTCTCAATAATATTATAGTATGTATTACTAGTTCTACGTGTGTTTCCGCTCTACGATCCTATGATGCTTCGAATCCACCTCTGATTTGCGTGAATCTCGGTTGCTATGGATGGATAATACACATTGCAAGGTACACAAACAGATATTATCCCTACCACAAAGCCCTGACATATTACAGGGCTACCGATGTCACACTGTAATAAAAGATTAAAGGTTACAGTTATGATTTAAAACTTACCGTTATGATAAACACAAATCGGATTTCGTAAGAGAACTAAATAATACATTCGTAGAACATCTAACAAGGAGATGCAGAATATTGTAAAATATTGTTCACTTCATTACGTACGTGACATGTTCCTGCATTGTATCCATAACTGACGCAAAAATCGGTATTAGAAACACTGAACTCTCTACGATAATTTTTCTCACATAAAGTATTATCTGATTGATAAGAACTTAGTATTTGTAACACACTCGATACGGGACCGTCTCTGTAGAGCCTACCCCAACCTATGGTTGTCACATTATTACATTGATAGCGATAGTTATGGTTGAAGTATGGCATCCATGCCCGTTTCCGAAAGTCATCAAACTCAATGTTCGTCGTCAACTAAACAAATTTCAAACGGACGATATAAAAATTAGAGAGTGTAATTAAAGAGAAAAAAGAACTATATTTTCAATGTTTTCATGCCTTTAACTGTGTGGAAATAAGATCGTTAACAGAATTTTGGTTCAAGACTTACACACACATACAGACACGTGCACGCGCGCACACACACACACAAGATCTGAGATTTTAATCAAATATAAGATTGATATAAATAATTATTTTTCTTTTTCCATACTTAGGAAGGAACAGCCGACCACATATTCGCCTATTAGACGTCGTTAGATGTCATTAGATTTATGTATTAGATATAACATATTTGTATGTGGTATCATTTATGTTATGTTATTTGGGCTGTTTATATTAAAATTATATGAGCAAATAAAAACATTATTGTATATTAATTAAAATACATACATATTAATTAAAGAAAATTATTGTATATAATATTATTATATAATATTATAACAAAGGTGTTATAATAAAGGTTTACCTTAAGTATAGCAATGTTATGTGCGAGACCGTCAACATATTGTGACTTCTTCGTGTAGTTCGTGTGATAGTATATTTTCTCGACATAATGCGTAAATCCACTGCAATTGAAAGTATCAGTTCCAGTAAGAACTGTTATATTCTTCACTAAGGATCTTTCTTGGCACATTTCCACACAGCGAGCGTTGGTTAGGATGTATCTTTTGTCGATTATGACACCGCTGCATATGTGAGTTCCTTGATTCTGTATGGAGACAATATATGGTTCATCTTCTATGAATATGGAAGTAGCATTTGCTTTTTCTGCCCATTTCCAATCTATTTCTTTATCCCTGTTCCTGTCGAATGCGAAAACGGCTGTAATTGAAAATCAAAATGTTAGAATGATCAGAGTAATAACGTTTAAGCGGGACGTTTAGTTTTATACAAGAATTAGTTTCTCCAGAAAAAGTTATAGCGAAGTTGATAATAACTATTATAGTGAATAACTGTGATGGCATAACTTTGAGCACTCGTAGCTTCCTTATATAAATAATATATTATATAAATAATATATTATATAATACTATATTATAAAGTAGGATAATATCTTTTTATACAGTAATAAGTAAGATAAGTATAAATAATTATAATAACGTAATTAAATAAAGAATTAATTAATTGAAGAAATGCGTGAATTGTGTTACCACGTATTATTGCATCTAGTTATTATAGAACTCACCTGTTATCACAAATGCTATTACCGAAATACAGACTAATTGCATCGTCATGTAAGTTGCCATTTTTGGATCTTTCCCGAGCTTCATAAGAAAAAAAAAAGGTTATTTTCTTAGAATAATTAATATAAGCATTTAAAGGTATATTTATAACTAATTATAGTACTCTCTTTTAATTTGATTTTTATCGTTTCATTGTTATATCGTAATGGTACGAATTTTTACACGATATTACGAGGCAATTAAAATTACGACATAAGATGTCTCATTATGTAATAATGATAATATTGCAAAAATTAAATGATACGATGGCATAACTAAGAGAAATCGACTAACGATTCGTAACGTTCTGAGTTACAATCTTACTTGCACGAACTACAATCGACGTGTGTCCGCCCGTTGTATTTGGGCCGAGATTTTATAATCTCGTGATCGGAGCTTCTCTCGGAAATTCTCGAAACATCTCTATTATGTGATGAAGTTTCGTTACAAGCTTCTCTGTTGTCACTTAATCGCACGCGTCTCTATTATTCGTCGTTCGGTCACAACAGTCTCGAATTTATGGTCTGTCATGATTGTGTTGGATGCGACGTATTGTGCTGTGTATCGTGATATGTATTGGATACTGTTTTTATGTGACAATGTCAGAATTGGCGAGCTGTCGAACGTCTCTCGTGAGTCGTTCGTGATCAACAAAGGATCTGCTAGCCTTTGTTCGACAAAAGGTTCTCGAATATTTCACCGAAATTGATCGTTGTATTAATTAGTTTCTTAATGGTTTAAATGCGATCGTATAGCAGCTGAGGTTTCCTGACCCCTCGCAATATTCACTACTTTGAAACTTGCTATCCTTCTCGTTTATTTCTTACAACATAAGCAAAAATATATATTTTTCCGATGTATATTTTCTCTTATATATACTTCGATATATCTACTTTGGTTAACGGCTGATTAATTTTTTTTCAATTTAAAATATTTTATAGACTTATTTTCCACTCTCATTTCTTCTAAAATTGAACATTTACAGAGCCTTCTCATTTATTTTACTTAAAAATATGGATAATTTTAGTTATTTTTTAGGTTTGTCGTTTTCCTCGAGTATATGATGCCAGATTGATTATAACTCAGCATCCTTAATTTCAAATCCATATTTATTCCAAATGATACGAGCACCACGATCGGCGATACATAAATTAATATATATCTAATTTGTATTTAATTATGATGTAATTCTTATTTCAATTTTTTATATTAGAAGTGCCATTTTAACGGAGGTATGTACATGCGTTTGCTTGCAAACCTGAAGAATAAGGGAATGTATTACAATGATATCCTGCATTCAGCCATTCAACGTGAGGTTTGCTCGCTTTCATCGTTATGATACGGCGAAAACTAATGAGCTGTAGCCTCGGCTAATTCGCTTCCCGCTTTTTAATTGCTCGACATTTAGCGGAACATGCGCTCTATGTCAGTAAAAGCGTGACGTTCCACATTCGCGCGTCCTCTCGACTAAATCGCGAGAATGCGAGAGAAGCATGCACGGGTTGCTGTCCAGACTGAAAAAACAAGCGCGATTCACGTCGTTAATGACGTCGTTCATTTTGTACGACCGCTCGGTCTTTCGTCGCTTTCCACGATGCGAAGAATTCGCCTGGAGTAAATCAAATTGCACAGCCGCGATCGAGAACTATCCAAAAATTCATCCGAAAATGTGATTTTAATATTCGCATATTTATTCTCTTTTAAGAAAATCAGGACTGCGAAGAAGGGAAATTCCAGTTATTTTTATAAAGTTGATATATCTGCGAAGTCAGATTGAATTATATCGTAGAAGACAAAATATTCCGAAAATGACACACTGTTACGTACTTATGCGACGTTAATTTAAAGTTAATCGGTCACTGTAAAATTTGTCAACGATTTAGTATATAAAATCAAATAAACACATAATTTTGTTATTATTGTACGTGCCCAAATTTGTCTGGTTATCTTAAACAGAATGTACGTAATAAAATTCGTCTGATAACCTTAATAAAAATAACAGATCGTTCATATTATATTAAGCAATCTGATTAATATATATCCATATTTCAGATTAATTCAACCAATCTTTTCTTCTGTGTATAATTATTATTATATACAAATTTTATATTATGCAATTAATACTACGTATAAAATAATTAATTTTATTTTTACGCGATTGACTGCACACGTTGATCTTCCGCGTTAAAAGTCACGCGTCGGTAATGCGATAATCTCGTACGAATTCCCCAGTAGGCGAAATATACTTTCTAGTAAACATTCAAACGCGCGTCCCCGAAGGGTTGGTTCATTAACAGATTACATCAGCTTCATGGAATATTTGAAATCTCATCTTGGACGCGGCTTGTCGTATCACGGAAGGCATGCGGCCCTTTGCCCTTACACGCCTCTCGTCGGGCACTTGAGGCCTGAAGCATAGTCACTATACCGGGGGGGACTGGCTGGCTACCCCAAAAGTGCACCTATCGGGGCTGGTTCAACGAACACGCAGCCCTAGAGACCTGTGTTAGAGCGCAGGGCGAGAGGAAGGGTAGGGAAAGGAGAGAGAGAGAGAGAGAGGGAGAATATTCGCCTCTTTGATAACTACCAGGCGCTATTATCCGATTCGAGTGCAATTTCATAGTAAAACGGTTGCGGATATTAAATCATAGACGGGAGCAAATCGATACCGCGCGTTACCGCCATTCCGTAATATAATTACCATTTATTACCGCAATTTATACGACACGAACAGTGTTGCCATGAACCGCGCGCGCGCGACTCGACTAAAGTTGAGAAACACGAAGGTCGTGTTTAACTTTACTGAGGGAGAATCGTGGAGGAACATATTATTATTTCATAACTAGCCAAATTCAAGGATATATCCCCTCTATGATTATTGAGAATTAGCTCGAGCAAGTGTGTTCACACGAAAAGAAATCATTTACTGACACGGCAAATTTTACGCTGTCACAGTATGTCAGTTAGTACGTGGAAGCGAGCCGATTTGTTAAGATTATTCTAATTGCAATTCACTGGATATATTTTGCTGAGTCAACAGATTGTTTTATTGAAAGAATGAATTAGTACATATATGAAGGCACTATTTTGTTCTAACGGCAAATTAACGCGTCCTAAGAACTAATTTATTCGACAATATTTTTTTATGGTAGCAACAAAAACATTACTTCCACTCTAGTTACGAATAATTCGCTAACTTAGTTATGCCGATTACATCTGATCGCAGTCGCAAACCTCTTTTCTCCATTTTTCATCAAATTTAAATCCTTCCCGCGATTTTTCGTAAATCTAATGCAGTGAAAATCTTTAAAATGAAAATTATCCGCCTTTAACTTAATTTGAAATAAGTGTCCACGACGGTTGGACAATATAATTGATCCAGTGGGTCGGAACTCGGGAAGCTTGATTTTAGCAGGATTAAAATGCGGCTGCACGCGATAGAGGATGATCTCGGCTAAAAAAGGAGGACACAGTGTTTGATCTCACGAAGACAGGATGACGCTGGTTAAGCGAAAGCCTGATTACACGACCATATATTTGAATTAGGAGCCAGCTACCATAACTCATTACGCTCACAATTCTCTTTCGTCAGCCAGACGTGCGTCTCTCGCATAAATCACAATTTGCCCTACTGGTCGCAGGTGGACGGGCATAGCGGGACGCAAATCTAAAAAGCCGCGATTGCGTGCGACGCGACAGGTGAGCGAAACGCGCGACGCGTGTAATCGATCTTGGCGCGATCTGTAGCGTTGATAATTACGATAACGCCTCTCCCCCCCTCCCGCTCGCTTTCCGCCGATTCGATAATTCTTTCCTGCCGTCGCGTCGAGGCTTTTAATAGATATTCTCATATATATTTATATACGTGCAAGAATATCATAATGTTCTTAAGAGATTTTTAGTCTTGTATCGAATTCTAGTAATACTTGCATCAATACAAACTCAATCAATTCAAGACTAAATGTTTAAGAAGATTATATTATTCTTCCTCATATACGAGAATATCTATTTTTAATTTAAGACTAATTTTTTTCTGTATATATATTGTTCCAACAGCCGCGCTTAGGATCTCATTGGCCATTAATTCTTTCCTTCTTTGTTAATCATTAGCAGAGTATTCATTTATTTAACTTAAACGTACATAGAAGATGCGATATATATCTCTACATGGTGATATTTTGAACGTTTCAATTATTCCATTAGTATGTTTTCATCACCGAGGAACTATTCATTCCCGACAGATATGATCGCGATCTTTAGTGCGGACGGCTGTCCTCGCGACATTGGAATGATATATATATATATGAAGAGATGTTGCGAGATACAAAAGTGACATCTCTTACATATTTTTATTTAAGTAAGACAGCCGGATGACGGATACAACACGGCAGCTACTGCTGCTTTTACCATGATTAGTGCGCGATGCGATGGAAAGCTGCGTGCATATATATACGTACACACATGCGTATACGCGATATACACGTTAGCGCATCGACGTGTATCTGAGCGCCATATATGAATGCGTATATAGACTCGTTCTCTTGCAACATAAGTTACACGATATGTGTACCGACGTCTAGCATGTTCATATTGGCTTTTTCTGCTCGGAAAATACGAATCGTCTCATGTAACGTCGGTCCCGCCACCGGTGCATCGTCTCCTCCGTGTGTGCCGCGGTTTTTATCGCGATTTTTATCCGGCGAATATTAAAATACGAAGCACAGAGCGCTGACTGATCAAAGTATGACGTTGAGATAAGAACTTCATTATTTCGGGCATTGAGCTAACGCGGCGTAAGCTAACTTAGAATCAACGTTTGTCCCGAAATGAAAATTTGCCGAATTGAAAGTCGAGTACTTCGTACATCGTCAGACCGACGTGTTTTTTCTCTGATTTTTATATTAATTTTAGATCAATGGTAGAAATTACAGCTGAATTTGGAATTTTATTGTTATACTTATGATCAACATCACAAAATTCGCGAGAATTGACGGTTTAGATCCAGGATACAATTTTTGGTGTTA